AATAACACATAAACGTTGAATAACATCGAGCCACCTTTTATCAGGATACACATTGACTAAAGTATCTTCTTTGGCCAAAACTTAAAGACTACCACACACTGCTGTACAATTGCTGACAAAGGTTCCAGGACCCTATGTTAAATACGTAGGAGCTTTAGTCACATCGAAAATAAAGCCTTTTTCACTTTGTATACAGTATCTATTCGTCCTAAACATTAGTGCTGTAGACACGCAGCTAGCTGATGTCTACAAGGAGAAAGTGAATTGTTGGAACAGCGCGCGCTTTCTAAAAGGACAGTGGTATTGTTTCTCGTTGAGTAACTTAACTGTTTTGATCGTAAATTACGCATCAAAACTACTGCTTACACTTTAATTGCATCTACTCCAAGTAAAGTGATATTGTATTGAGTGTTTAGATTCTGCTTTTGTGTATTTATTGTATAAAAGCATACTTGGTCGACTTTTACTTGATTAATTTAGTCAAGGTTTTAGTATTCTTTTTCATATCCTCTTTGAATTACCATTGTATTTGGATTTCAAGATGTCCAAATCGGCTCATAAATGTGGACAACCATACTGTTTACTCCCCGTGGAGGAAGGGATGCAATGTGATGAGTGTAGTAAGTGGTTCCACAAGATGTGCATCCGACTAAGCCCTGCTGCATATAAAAGGTGCTCGAAGCCCAACTCTCATTGGCTTTGTAGTTTTTGTTGCTCAAACAAAACAACACTCATCCAGGAAGCCATTAGCCTCCTGGTGTTGGCTAATAAGAAAGTTGATGAAGGCTACACTGCCAATATTGGTGCTGATGGCGGAGATCGCGTTAGTGTCGTAAGTGCTGTCACGGCGCAAGTAAGACATCTAACTGCGCAACCCGAGATCAAAATTTTTACCTCAAAACAATCAATGAGTGACACGTTATTGGCCATGTTGCTACTGCAGCAACTGGTGATCAAGATAAAACAATTACTGCCACGAGCAGTTCTGATGTAGATGCTACGGCTGACGGAATATGGATGACGCGTAAACGCAGAAGAGTAGGAAAGACAGCTAAAAATAAGGACCGTCTACTTGATAAGTTTTTGGTGGACTCTCAAGCCACTCTGCCAAAGTCCCAAAGTAAAGCCTCTTCAAATATTGTTGTGAGTCACTCGCTCGACTCCAATGACTCTGTTACAATAAAAACTAATCGTAAGATACCAGTAGTTAATATACAGGATCTAAGGCCATGATCGATAGCTGTAAACACGATTCCAAAAGAAGCTAAACCACTCCTTAGTTTAGATATTTGGAATCTAGAAGAGTCGATAGACAATGACCCTGCTAAGAGACATGCACATGATCTGCAGTTAGTAGAATCCGTGGTAAGAAACGTACTACCTAAAGAGGTTTCAGGGGTACATATCACGAAAGTGATACGACTCGGTAAATGGGTTGGAGGCGAGATCCAACCAAGAAGGATCTTGAAGCTGGTTTTAGGGAGTTTTGAAGAAAGAGATATATTATTGAAAAACGCACAAAAAATTCGTGATTTAAATATTCGTATCCGACCAGATTGGCCGTTTGAGTATCGAAAAAAGTGGAAGAATGCTCTTACGGAGTTGAGAACTCGCAAGTTAAATGGCGAAACTAACCTTACCATTAAGGGTTTTTGGGTAGTCAGGTCTTGGAACCATTGCTTTCGAGGCCTGTATGGGTAGGACGAATGATTATCAAAACACCTTAAGTGTGTGCCACACGAACACCCGTAGACTCAGGAATTAAACGTCCGAGTTAAGTCTGTAGGTGGATGAATTAAGTCCCGATATAGTTGTTGTTGCAGAAACGTGGTTCACCGTAGATATTGAATGTTCTCTCATCATTGCAGACTATATCTGTATTAGAAGTGATAGAGTTTTAAGTCGCAAGGGGGAGGCATAATGTTATACATTAGGGATCACTTTCGTATACAATCACTCATATCGGAGGCTCATGTTGGTGGTACATGTGAGGTAGCATGTTGTAAGACTAAATCTAGAAATGGGTTAGTGACTATAGGCGGAATATGCCGTAGTCCGTGTTGTCGTGCTGATGACTTTATCCTAAGACACATCTGTTCTTGGAGTATGGCTGAATGTTGCCTCATCATTGGGGACTTCAACGCTCCGAACATAAACTGGATAGAGCTTACAGCTCCAGGTGGAGGTTTCGATAGCGACCTTTTATCAACCGTTATCCAGTGTGCACTTGTACAATGTATCACTAAACTGACACATATTGACCTGAAACGTGATCCGTCACTGCTGGACATTGCCCTCACCCACCACTGTGAGGATGTCTTTGATATTCAGCATCTTCCTCCACTAGTGAACAGTGATCACGTTGTACTTCACTTTAAGTTCAGGACACATGGTATACGATTTGTATCCGCTCCACCCCGTCCCAATATCTGGCGGGCTAATATTCCGGCAATCAGAGACTGTGCGATCTCGACTGATTGGTCGGTTGACGCAGATGGATCGATCGAAGAGGAATGGATTAAGTTTAAGGCTACATTCGAGTCCGTAACGTCGCTGTTTATCCCATGGTCAGCACGTAGGCTATCGCATTGCCCTCCATGGATTAATAAGAAAACCCGTAAGCTGTTAAAGCGTAGGAAACACTTCTGGGACATATTCTTGTTGACAGGTCATGCATCATTTAAGCGTGAGTACCAAAAGTTGCGGAATATTTGTAAGAAAACCATAGCTAAATCCCGTACTACTTACGAACGACAGTTGGTATATGATAGCCACACTTGTCCAAAACGATTGTTTTCGTATGTTAAACGGCGAATGAAACGTAGTAATGATATTCCCCCGTTATTGCCACACGATAATTCAGATTTACTAGCTGAATCAGATGGGGCAAAAGCCGAGACATTTTCAAACTATTTTAGCGAAGTCTACTCTACGTTTATTGTAATAAATACTTGTCCCAATCACACCGAGATAAAAACCATTGAATATGTGCAGGTAACTGAAAATACTATACTTCCGTTGCTAACTAACCCCAAACTTTGTAGGAGACCGGGTCCTGACGGGTTGAATCCACGGCTGCCGGCATCTCTTGCGGAAATTATTTCAAAAACGCTCGCAACACTCTTCAACATGTCCCTCTCACTCGCTCAACGGCTGGTCAGAGAAAGATCGTATCTAACTACCGGCCTGTCAGTCTGACTAGCAATGTCGTTAAGTTACTTGAAAACATAATTCGGGTTAGGTTGCTAAGCCACATAGATTCACACAATCTGTTAGCTCCTGAGTAACATGGATTTCGTAGCAAGCGTACATGCTTGACTAACCTACTTATTGAGAGAGAGGATTGGACAGCAGTCTTAGATAAAGGTCTGTCTGTCGATATGATATTCATAGATTTTAGCAAAGCATTTGACAAGGTTTCACACCTAGGTCTTATGAAGAAGCTCACGAGCTTCGGAATAATAAGCACTGTACAGGAGTGGATAGGAAACTTCTTATGTGACCGCAGACAAAGAGTGAGGGTCAATGGAACGCTATCCGATTGGAAGCCGGTCAAAAGTGGTGTACCTCAAGGCACCATATTAGGCCCTCTGCTCTTCCTTCTCTACGTAAATGAGTTACCGCTGTTGCTTAGGTCGTCGACATTATTATTTGCGGATGATGTCGAAATCTGGAGAACAATAAGAAATGAGGCTGATCATCTGGATCTCCAAGCTGATTTAGACGATTTAGTTAGATGGGCTCGAGATTGGAATTTAGAAATCAGTTCTAGGAAGAGTGTGCTAATGCACATCGGTCACGGTAATAGTTACCATTATACTATTGATGGTAAACCTCTTCCATTCGTTCAAGAACATAAATACATGGGAGTAATGATAAGTCATGACCTAAAAACAACTACGCATTGCAACACAGCCGCTATCAAAGGTTTTCGTGCGTTGTGGTCACTTCGCCGAGCGTTCAAATCCTTTGACGAGGAAATGTTTCGAATTTTATATCCCACCTATGTAGGACCACATTTAGAGTACTGTATTCAAGCAGCTAGCCCATGTCTGATAAAGGATACTACCTCCACTGAGCGTGTCCAGCGTGTGGGAACGAAATTAGTGAAGAGTCTTTCTAAACTGCCTTATGATGAGCGTTTAAAACGCCCAAACCTTTTCCCCTTGTCGTATCGTAAGACTCGAGGTGACCTTATACTGGCATTTCGTATCTTTAATTATGATTTGGGTGTTAATATGTCTTATCTTTTTGCTCCCTCCTGCACTAACAACCTCCTAGGTCATAGCAAGAAGGTTCATAAGCCACGATCTAATAAACTCAAGGTGGGGTTCCGTTTTTCTCATCGAGTAGTCAATGGTTTGAACGCTTTGCCCGAACATGTGGTATCAGCCCCATCAGTGAATATTTTCAAAGAAAAACTGAACCTTCACTGGAAGGCGACCTATTAAGATTAACACAGGTTCACTAACCTACTATCCTTATTACTGAAGACTGAGTTTCAAATAGACGCGGCTTAATTGAATCTCGGAATAGCTTACCTCCTTATGATACTCGACTGATAAAACTAAACCAATTGACATCGCCATTTCGAAGAATCAAAGGCGACCTGATCACAGTTTTTAAATCGCTTAAAGATAAACTTTCGTTTTATATATATTCACTTTTCTTCTATCCCAAAGCAGATAATTTACGAGGACACTCGATAAAGTCCACAAGCCTAGAACTAGCTACTTGTCAGTTGACAAACGAGTTTCCCGTTGAATCAACGAATCGAATTCATAATACCAACAAGTCATTGAAGCCTCATCTGTCAACGATGTCAAAGAAAGTTGGTTCAAGCTGAAAGACCATCACTGTCAGAACTGATATTGGCCATTCAAACAAACATTTTATAACAAAAAGTGATTTTATGACAGCAAAACTGTGAAAAGGTCACTTTCAGTTAGAAACGAACTTTCATATGTTAGAAGAAAATGTTACTACGAATTTGTAGTTGCTGAAATTAAAACCGCCTGTTTTGGAACTGCGCTACATCAATGCAAACAAAGGCGTTACAACCACTACACGTGTGTCAGTTTTTAAAGGTAGATTTCGGCGCGAACGCTCGGGTTCAATATGGCGACTAAGTGTCCTGTCGTGTAGTAGCTATATTTTGATTGAAACTCGTCCTGAGCCGATAGAATTGGTCAAAATCATGAGATTACTCAAGTTAATTTTATCTCTTAAAAATTGTCCTTAAAGGATTCTCGGATCGAGATCTCTTTACCCCACTTGTCTGTGTCTCGTGAAGAAAACCGCTAGTAAAAGGATAATGCGGCATCAAAATTATTTGTCGTATACAAAAATGTTAACTTTTACATATATCAACTGTATTTTCGGTAAGAGTATTATAAATTGTTACTTAATGGACATGTCTGGAAACAAATAGTCTAATGCTAGTACTTATTGGTATCAGCTAATCACATTTCTTTCGCGAATACATTTTTAATCCCCTGATGGTTTTGCAGTTCGTGAGTTAAATGGTTCAACTGTGAAGCAGTTTTCTCGTACTATATCAACACGAAAAAAACATTAGTTATTCAGTATTTGTCAAAATAGTAGTTCGGAAAACACCATTAATGTGCCTAGTTTATCGGCCTTCGATTTTCGAACTACGTTTTTTTGTATGTGTCTACTTGCTAAGTTACTTGGTTGGATAAGAAATTGTGAGAAACCCAAACTTTTCTTTACGATCAATTTATTAAACACAACGCAATTATTGTGACACACAAAAATATTGACTCAAAGAGACGTGCTGATTTTTGTGAAGCATCATTCAACCACAAAAATATGTCCAGAGATATAATATGATAAATGTAGGTTGATGTAGAGACTTACAAAATGTATTTGTTGAGTATTACTATATCGGAAAAAACGCAAATAATAACGATGCTTTATAATACTAATAATAATAAGATAATCAGCTTCGTATATATATGAATATATATTCATACACGAGACTTTCTGACAGTAACATGAAAAAAAAATGCAAAATACTCTCATGTGTAATAACGACGAAAATATATGTGTTTAGGTGTGGTGGGATGATCAGGCAATTAGATGTAAATAATTGTATACTTCTTCATTCGATTTGTATGAGGGATGGAATACTGATAGCCCCCAAATGCCCTGGTACGGTCGAGAGTGGGGAGAGTCCGCTCTCCCTCTCGAAATGCTCTCACATGGCCATGCGTACATAGCCCCTGCCAGGGAAGTCCTACTCACTGCCTTCTCGTGGCGGGGGTGTTGTTTACAAAAATGAGAGGACGAAAAGCGAATGTCTGGCGCTTTAACCGGACCCCAAACCAATGGTGCACATGGGCTCCAGTATCCTGCGGGAACAAATGGCGTATGAACCAATCGTTGGTCACCGGCTACCATGGGACTGCATCTCCTCACGATGCTCCACTGCCTTGTGGGTCAGACGTTCAGGTCAAAGGCTCGGGGTGTGGCCCCCTAAGACAACCACCTGCTTCGGTTTGGGCACCCGGGCAGTATCACAGCCCTCACACAAATCAATTGAGATTTGTGTGGCGCATATGTATTTTGGTGCCTCCCTGTACCTATACTTATGTGTTAAAATAAATAAATAAATAAAATAAATGGAATACTGATCGGGTGCATAAACCGAAACAGGTGGCTCTCCCCACCCTTGGCCGTACCAGGACACTTAGACTCATTGTGTGTGAACAAGAAATAAGCTGTCAGTGTTAGCGACCTGAATTGATTGAGCGACTTTCCACCTATCACTTTGTCGTACTTTTTTCTCATTAAATCGCGAAGTGAACGTAGCGAGGTATGAACGGATGAGTTTACTTGCTAGATGTTCACTAAGAGCATGGATTGCGTGGTAGTTATTAGTGAACTTCTCTAGCAGATCTTCACTCCCTGTAGAGATTGACAAGTTGTCCAGCGCACGAAGAACCAAGTCCATTATGTATTTCCTTGTCCACCGGCTGCTATGTCGAAATAAGTCTACAATGCTTATAGAGACAAAGAAACACACACCACGAATTAGACCTTTCGAATATGCATACTAAATACGACCACAGTGCAGCATGTAGTCATTGAAACGCTAACAAGCACATCGTGCATGTGAAGTATCAACAACATACATCATACCCTTGTCGTGGCAGCGGATGTATTCTCTTGCTATAAATTCGTGTCTCATTGTCCTAACACGTTTATAATTTACAGTTACAATTTTAGCTGCAAAAGCTGTGAACTCATTTAAAACAGTTTGAAATGACATTGAAACCTGAAATTAATGGTACATTTAACTATATTTCTTACCTTAAGTATTGGAAAACGTTGAAGATCCTTTACAGCGTCATATGGACGCAAACGTAGGTCAGTGTCTGTTTTACTCCAAATTTTCCAGAACGTCAATGGCACAGAATCACCTCTTCTGAGACATTATTTTAGGTGTTTATGAGCACTTTCGACACGGTTGTTTGTGTGGTTGCCCAGACTTAGTACATGTCGCCGGTAACAGCGAGCCCACATTGACTTCCGGGCAATCCAGTAATCTTTGATGGGAAATGGGTTCTTAGATGTTCGTACTTTTGAGTAAATCTGAATATAATGCGTTACGAAAAATGAAGCTCACATGTCAGACCGTCTAGTCTTTACAAGGTGTTCCAAGCATTTGCGTACATCAGGATTTCGAAACTACAGAAAATAATTTGTACAGCTAACACTTACCTTCCTGAAAAATGCTCGTAAGACATGGAATGAACAAAGTACTATGTTGGCATGACTGTGCGTAAACTGCACTGCTGAAATTTCGGTTGCTGCCGAATCCATAACGAAAGTGCGTGTATCATAAGTACCGCACATTATATCTTTGAAGCATTCCAATAGTTTTACGACATCTTCGCATCGTTCTTGCCTGCAAAGAGCATACATAAGAGTGTGCCCTTGCCCAAGACTATCAGTCACCACTAGCTGGAACAGTGCAGAACTTTAAGATAAATTTATTACTATTCGTTACTTACCCAACTCTGTTGGTCTAATAAGTTGAGTCAATACAAATTACCTCTGGGAACGCGTGGTAAACAGCTATTTGCTCCCTACGACTGAAGCAAATCATAGATATGTTCCCATGCTCACTGAGTACTTTAACTTCAGTGTTTGCTTAAACGCGCTGTAAAATGTCATTGATATTTTTAGTGTCTAAGCCCAATTAATTACAATGTGAGTTCAACAACCTGGGTACAACTGTGAACGCATTTTAGAGATATCGTCCTTAGTAAGCTGTTTATGGAACTTCCAAGAAACCAGATGTCGTAAACTACGAGTCAGCGTATTACTCAATAGAAACGTTCTTAAATATAGACGTTCACTTGACGTCAACTTTCGTCTTGAAGGATCTACAGAAATATATCCTTCTGTGCAAGGATGGTTGTGCATGGTCTTGATAGAGGTGATTTTTAGCTTGCCATTTACTGCACGGACCCAAAATTTAGATTGACAATGGCAATATTTCGATCTGAAGGATAAGTTCATTCAAAATAAAGCATACGTGGATGACCGACGTTTTCTTTGTCTAGGTCGCGTTCGAAGTTGTATGCTTTTCAGAAGAATGATGACGACATACCATATCGGACTCACCACGTATGCCTTAATTCGAATGAACTTATCCTTCAGATCGAAATATTGCCATTGTCAATCTAAATTTTGGGTCCGTGCAGTAAATGGCAAGCTAAAAATCACCTCTATCAAGACCATGCACAACCATCCTTGCACAGAAGGATATATTTCTGTAGATCCTTCAAGACGAAAGTTGACGTCAAGTGAACGTCTATATTTAAGAACGTTTCTATTGAGTAATACGCTGACTCGTAGTTTACGACATCTGGTTTCTTGGAAGTTCCATAAACAGCTTACTAAGGACGATATCTCTAAAATGCGTTCACAGTTGTACCCAGGTTGTTGAACTCACATTGTAATTAATTGAGCTTAGACACTAAAAATATCAATGACATTTTACAGCGCGTTCAAGCAAACACTGAAGTTAAAGTACTCAGTGAGCATGGGAACATATCTATGATTTGCTTCAGTCGCAGGGAGCGAATAGCTGTTTACCACGCGTTCCCAGAGGTAATATGTATTGACTCAACTTATTAGACCAACAGAGTTGGGTAAGTAACGAATAGTAATAAATTTATCTTAAAGTTCTGCACTGTTCCAGCTAGTGGTGACTGATAGTCTTGGGCAAGGGCACACTGTTATGTATGCTCTTTGCAGGCAAGAACGATGTGAAGATGTCATAAAACTATTGGAATGCTTCAAAGATATAATGTGCGGTACTTATGATACACGCACTTTCGTTATGGATTCGGCAGCAACCGAAATTTCTGCAGTGCAGTTTACGCACAGTCATGCCAACATAGTACTTTGTTCATTCCATGTCTTACGAGCATTTTTCAGGAAGGTAAGTGTTAGCTGTACAAATTATTTTCCGTAGTTTCGAAATCCTGATGTACGCAAATGCTTGGAACACCTTGTAAAGACTAGACGGTCTGACATGTGAGCTTCATTTTTCGTAACGCATTATATTCAGATTTACTCAAAAGTACGAACACCTAAGAACCCATTTCCCATCAAAGATTACTGGATTGCCCGGAAGTCAATGTGGGCTCGCTGTTACCGGCGACATGTACTAAGTCTGGGCAACCACACAAACAACCGTGTCGAAAGTGCTCATAAACACCTAAAATAATGTCCCAGAAGAGGTGATTCTGTGCCATTGACGTTCTGGAAAATTTGGAGCAAAACAGATACTGACCTACGTTTGCGTCCATATGACGCTGTAAAGGATCTTCAACGTTTTCCAATACTTAAGGTAAGAAATATAGTTAAATGTACCATTAATTTCAGGTTTCAATGTCATTTCAAACTGTTTTAAATTAGTTCACAGCTTTTGCAGCTAAAATTGTAACTGTAAATTATAAACGTGTTAGGACAATGAGACACGAATTTATAGCAAGAGAATACATCCGCTGCTACGACAAGGGTATGATGTATGTTGTTGATACTTCACATGCACGATGTGCTTGTTAGCGTTTCAATGACTACATGCTGCACTGTGGTCGTATTTAGTATGCATATTCGAAAGGTCTAATTCGTGGTGTGTGTTTCTTTGTCTCTATAAGCATTGTAGACTTATTTCGACATAGCAGCCGGTGGACAAGGAAATACATAATGGACTTGGTTCTTCGTGCGCTGGACAACTTGTCAATCTCTACAGGGAGTGGAGATCTGCTAGAGAAGTTCACTAATAACTACCACGCAATCCATGCTCTTAGTGAACCTCTAGTAAGTAAACTCATCCGTTCATACCTCGCTACGTTCACTTCGCGATTTAATGAGAAAAAAGTACGACAAAGTGATAGGTGGAAAGTCGCTCAATCAATTCAGGTCGCTAACACTGACAGCTTATTTCTTGTTCACACACAATGAGTCTAAGTGTCCTGGTACGGCCAAGGGTGGGGAGAGCCACCTGTTTCGGTTTATGCACCCGATCAGTATTCCATCCCTCATACAAATCGAATGAAGAAGTATGGCGCATATATATTTGATGCCTCCTTGTGCCAATGTCCATGTGTTTAAATAAATGAAATAGACCGCACACATTGATTATACAATTATTTACATCTAATTGCCTGATCATCCCACCACACCTAAACACATATATTTTCGTCGTTATTACACATGAGAGTATTTTGCATTTTTATTCATCAGTCACTGTCAGAACGTCTTTCCTCATGAATATACCTACGGTCAGTCAGCTACAACGTTGGAGCAGGCACATGTTGCCATGCCACATCAGCACAACATGATCTACACCAAATTTATGGAAGTAGTTTGTTCAGTTGTGGTAATATATAATAGAAAGATTGCATGTAAAGACATACTAAGGTAATAAGGAATTAGTTCGTAGAAAGTTGTGAAGCGATTTTAGTCTCATAGTTTAAAAGAGAGAGTGTATACACCTGCGCCATTGTGATCGATTCTGAGCCATGTCACCCACAGACTCCAACCATCGGTTACGATAGTCACGAGTCCCCAACTAAGTAGTCTGCATCTACCAACATGGCTCAACCTAGAAGTTAGTGACTCCGATCTTTGATGCCACGTATTGGTTTGACCGCCCCTATCTTTCTTCCAGCCATCCCCAACACTAGTCAGCATTGCGCGTCGTGGTAATCGGTGTTGAGTCATACGCAACACGTGGCCCAACTATCTCAGTCGATGAAGATTCACAACCTCATCAACTGATTTACCATTATGTCCTAATACCCTGCATCTAACGTCACTTGTACATACCCAGTAGATGCGAGCAATATTTCTAAGGCATCTGTGGTCAAATACTAGTAGCTTACGAGTATCTTCAACTCTTAATGGCCACGTTTCCCAACCGTTAAGTAAAACAACGATATGCCGCGCAGTATACTCATTCCTTAATTGATAGACGTAGCTGATTATCTTACAATTATTACCATTATAAGCCATCATTATCATTTGTGTTTTTTTCCTCTTGGTAATACTCAAATACACATTATAACTCTGTACATCAACATACAATTAACATGTTATATTTCTGGACATATTTTTGTGTTTGAATGCTATTTCTCGTAAAACAGCAATAGGGTCTTTTGTGTTGATTACTCATATTTTTTGTAATGCCACTTAATGTGTACATTATTTTTTAAATCTTTGGATTTTCGGTTACCGATTTGTATCAACTTCTACGACACACTGATTAACTCACAAATATACTACTCCCAGTACATTCCTCGTCTTCATCTTACCAGCTGCTACATTGACAAATCAGTAATATGATTGCTGTTTACTTTTCAGGTCACATTCCTGTCCTGAGTACAGAATTTTTTTCTGATATACATTGCTTTGAACTACATATACCGTATTTGGTATTATTAACTACTTGTTTCAATTGCGCGTTACATGACCAACACCCGAACACACTAGACCTGAAAATAAAGGTAACGTCAAGACTTTTTAGATTGATATATTTGTTGGGTTATTAACTGTCTTTACACTCCGTTCAATAACTTTTTCACTATTTTCGTATTAATACTTTGGTCCGCCATAGAGGAAATGGTCTCAATGTGTTCACTGACTCACTTCTGCTGCATATAAGGTGTTACAAGACACAATCAAAATGGCTTTATAGGGCATGCCGTTCCACGAGATCTCTGGTGATACTCAGGGGATTGGGCTATTGAACACAGCTAGGAAGCTTCCGCAGACCAATGGTAAGTTGTAGGGAACATGAAGCACCTGAAAAATTCCAAAGAAGTCATGTGCCATAGTTAACCCGGCTTCAAATTTGAATAAAACTACCGTGACAGACCCTCAAAATGCAGTACATTATAAGCACACTGATGCAGAAAACGAATAAACGTGTGCAGAAGGGACAAATTACAAGGAGCTCCAAAAATTGTGTCGCCAGATACAGCCTTAGAATGCTACATCAACGCAATGGTTTTGCCACAGCCTGATCTGCACAATGTAGATTTGTCTGAAAATCGAAATAAAGTCAATGACTAGCTGTGGCCTCTGGGAAATCAAAAGCGGAGGCCCATACATCCTTTGCCAAACCGGACCATGGGAAAGAGTTTAAGTTCAAGAAATGAAGCCTCAATCACTTTTTAAAAATCTTCCTGAAAACGACTAAAAGGCTAGTTTGAAGCACGATGTAAACCATATTCATTCACTTATAAGCAAACTATGCTTCCATTGAGGAGCAAAGATTTACTGTTGAAAAAGTTACAAAAACTGATTGAATCTGGAATCTATATCCGCGTTGATCTAAGCCTGGTTGATCTTATTAAAAGACGATGTAGAGAGGAAGAATTAAATGAAGGTCGTGAAAACGGTAAGGAGATCATGGTACTTAAAGTTCTTCACGTTGTCAAAATACAGTGCAGAACGACCCCTAAACCACTCTGAGTGGTAAGGAAAAGCACTTCACAGAACTGGCGTTTTGCTATACAAACACTTACAGCGTACCAAACAAATGAAGGGACTGAAAAACGTGGACACGAAAAACCTGATTTCATGGCTAAAATCAGTAGTGTGATATTAAAATCCAGTTGTTTGGTTCCTTATTTCGCAAGACCGACAGATTAAACCGTAGGGGAGTTGGCGTCATCTTTTTCTTTCTAGTTGACTCTCCCGATTTGTGGAAAACGTCTTGTCTTTCTGAAGTCTGGTGCAGTAGGAGATGACTAGATTGTTGCACTCTTTGATTCTTAAAGTTGATCTTCAGTTATTCCTGATAAATAGTTTTCCAACTGGGAACTTGATGCCATTTACTTAGCTCTTTATATCTCTCAGATGTCTTCGAACGTAGCTCCTACTTTTGAATTTCTCTATGTAAGCACCTTTCGGGTTGCTATTCAAGGTAAGATAGCAAGATACGGGAGTTTATTTCGAGATGAGGTCTAAAGAAACACTAAAAATTGTTTTGACTAATTCCGGACTACCTTTTTCCGAAAGGAAACTCCAAGACAAGACGCTTTACTAACTACGGAACATATACTAAAAAAAACACATAGTAATAGCTTGGTCTGTTTTCACCGTCTAATGCTGAAATCACATCAAGCAGTACAAGTTCTATATGTCGTTACTGCTCACCGATGGAACTTGTTGGAGTTACAAGAGAGTAATTTTCTAATGGTGCAATAGTTGATCCTATTCAAATCATATTGAAATTATTCGCATATACCGGCTTATTTAGTAAATCGTCCATGAACAATAGAATTGGTTCAAAGGCTGTTGATATAGCTTCATATTTTCAACCATTATTGTTAATGATAGAAGCATACAGGACGAAGGGAATTTTCTTTATGGTAAACCTGTATCTTTAGTGTAATTTTGTTTGTTTTCAAAGATGTCAGCAGAAGATTGTGAAAATGAACTAATTGCATTGGAATCAATTTATGAAGATAAATATCAACTTGTACAAACTACACCTAAACGAAAAATAAAAGTAAATTTAAATGGTCAATCAGATAATTCACTTTCAACTAAAGTTCGATGTCAACTTCTTTTTGAATTAACAAGCAATTATCCAAATAAAGCACCTAAATATCAAATACTTAAACCTGAAAATCTTTCAAATGAAGATATTTCTGATATAAATATTATAATCAATGAAGTAATTGAACGATCTCTAGGATTTATAATGTTATTTGATATATTAACAGAAGTTCAACAAAAATTAGATAGTATCTGTACAAAAATTTTAATTCGTCAGCGTAATGAAGCTAAAGAAAAACGTAAAGCTATACAATTAGAAGAAGAAGCAAAATTTCGTGGTGATAGAGTTACAGTAGAATCATTTTTAGAATGGAATACAAAATTTCTTGCAGAAATGGAATTATTAAAAGAGAAAACAATATCTGAAGATCAAAATTCTGTTAAACGACTAACTGGACGTGAGCTATTTTTGAAAGATAATCATTATGACGATTCAGATTTGACCTTTTTGGAAACGAATGGTGGTGAAGTGGTAGAGATTGACGAACATTTATTTGTTGACATTGGTGATATAGACTTGGATGATGATGATGACGATGACGATAATAACCAAGTAGCTGTGACGGGAACAGCCTGAACATATGATATACTTTGTACAAATTAATTTACTTCAAAAGTATCATTGCTTTTATTTTAACAATTCTCTTCCGGTATGTAAAGACAACGATATACAAAGTTGGAAATAGACTTCTATAACTATGTAAATTCTAAAAAGTGCGAATTTGGCGACTATAAATCGTTAACTTGCAAAGCTTTATTTTCGTGTCCTAAAACCTGGGATAATTATTTAAGTAAAAGGATACACCTATGAGACCAAATGCAAATTCGTCCTCATAGTTAATAATTATTGGAAATAAATATGCCTACCGCATAAATCCTCGTTACTGAGGCGAGATTCAATTGTACAAGCTCTATTGAATAAATGTTAGGTATCTAGATCACTGCTGTACAACACCTAGTATTCTCAGAACTGTAGTACATGGGTTCACTACTAACTGATTCGCTTAAGTATTTGAGTAAGCTTTTTAGTTTTCCTACACAATCAATACTTTCTGTGTGCTTAGTCCTAAGGATTTTTTGGATTTCGGAGAAACAATGCCTGCTGAACTTCTGAAGGTCCTCCAACTAATATCAGTTCATGTTGAAAAACTAATGCTATTATGATGTTCATGTAGATAATTCCTAACAAAAATGTGACTGTAAGCTTATTCTGTCAATAAGGACGCTCCAACAGTGCGAATATTGCTGTGATATGGGCTTACATATACCAGACCTTGCCAGCTATCACCCCTTACATTTAAATAGAGGTTTCCACTGTTTAAAGTAAGTTATTCCTTCGCCATGTTCCTTGAAACATTTCAAGTTACTCTAGTTTTATATATATTAAATACTGTCTGAACTTTTAGTGATATTATATAGTAGGTGTTCCAACCTCAGTCAGTCAGTAACAACGTGGAACTTCGTAATTACGTACGTCAGTTCGAGTCGCCATACTACATTGCGTTCCAATCTTAAGAATACTAATTATTAAACATGTCGTTATTTAAGTTGTGTAGTTAGTCTAAGCAGAACGTTTTCGCTACGGTGCAATACAGTTATTTGGATATTAATATTTATAATCTAACAACAATTCGTCAGCAAAACACCAATCAATTTCAAAGTTTTTACTTTTTTATTTTACGTCTTTTAACATACTTAGGAATTTTATGTTTTCGCTTTTCAGCTTGTTCTTGCTTGATTGCCTTTTTTCTATTTTTACGACTTTCTGGAGATTCATTTCGAGGTCGTGCATTAGTCTTTGCTTTAGTTACATCTTCGCTAATAGATTCAGAAGAAATTTCTGAAGTGATTGAAGCTTTGTCTGTAATTGATTCATTGTCCGATTCACATTCATTGTTTTCTTTTATCACTTGAGGTTGTGTTAAAATGCCTGTTAAATCTGGTTTCAGTCCAGTTATAGCTGCATAGTAAATATCAGAATGTGATAATTGTCCACGTTGTATTTTAAGGAAATCTCTCACAAATGGATAAGATACTGATAAATTTCGAGGAATATGTACATATCGAAAGGCTTCATCCTCTTTTTCAATTGTTTCATTTAATCCACGAATTGAAGCTTCTCGAAGTAAAGACATTAAGCACTCTCTAGATGATGGGTCATCGGGTGCAGGCAATGAGGGATTCACTACCCATTCGAAAAGTTCTCGTAATGTTAAAGTTGAGACACCTTGTTTGCGAAAAAATATATTTATATTGTGACAATCAGTTCTTAAATATTCAAGAGCTTGAGGCGATTCATGTTCCACAGCCTATAAATAGTAAATGAAGTTTACTAGTGAAAGGTATAAACAACTTTTACTCTGAAGATGTTTGCATATTTCCACTGAAAACGGACGTTATTTGCCTTGAAAGGTGAAAGACTGTAGATCAGTGGGCTTCAAGTAGCATAAGCTGAACTTAGTTGTACTGGGAAATATATATTCGTTGATTGACTGTCTCGATTTTTTCATATTATAACAATCAAACTGATTCGGTAAGATACTTAAACAACTCAGTCACTCATACTTAATGCAGAATTTAGCACATATATGTGTCGGTTAAAGTTGCTACACTAAATTAGTCCAGTAGCATGCTGGAGGAGTACAAATAACATTATTAGCGGTAGTAGAAGTGACTTGAGAAGGGATAAATAATTCGTGTAGATAAATAAAATCTAAAAAGATGATTAAGATTAGGTCCTAAAGGAAGAAAGAATGAATACGCTTGCGCTACTGCAAACAATTTTGGCCCATGTCACTGACCACGGTTGTCGTTCGGAACCATACCAAGTAATGTGTACTTACTAAAATCGCCTTAGATTAACAGACACTGACTTTATGAACTGATACCATCCTGGTTTAGTTATTTCAAACCACTCCTACTCTAGCATTGAGGTATGCGGTGATCGAGCATATATGACACATATCCTAGCCCCAAATGCTGTTACATGGCCACGCGTATATAGCCTTTGCCAGGGAAGTCCTACTCACTGCCTTCTCACACCAGGAGTGTTGTTTACGAAAATGAGAGGACGAAAAGCGAATGTCCGGTGCTTTAACCGGATCCCAAACCAATCGTGCACATGAGCTTCAGTATGCTGAGGGAACAAATGGAGTATAAACCAATCGTTGGTCACCGGCTACCATGGGACTGCATCTCCTTACGATGCTCCACTGCCTTGTGGGTCAAACCTTTAGGTCGAAGGCTCGGGGTGTGGCGCCCTAAGAAAACCACCTGTTTCGGTTTGGGCACCCGGGCAGTATCCCAGCCCTCACACATATCAAATGAAAGTTGTGTGGCGCATATGTATTTGGTGCCTCCTTGTGCCAATATCTGTGTTAAAATAAATAAATAAAATACATATCCTAACCACCTCAGTGGATGAAGATTTGCTGTCTCACCGATTGACTGATCACCTTTAATTGGTACCTTGAGCTTAACCACAGCATTCCTCAATTGGTGATCCCAACATACACGAACCATGTTTTAAAGGCATCTATGATCAAATACTAATCACTTGCAAGTATCTGCTATTTTTAAAGACCGACTTTCGCACCTACAGAGCAAACCATAGTGAATCGCTGTGCAGTATACTTTCCCTCCAGTCGGTAGACACAATCGCCAACCCGACAAGTGACGTAAGTTGGAAAAGTCAACCGAGCTGTCTGAATCCGTGCAGAAATTTCGTCAGACATCAAGTAATTAGGTCTATTGGGAGATATGTAGAGTGCTCGATGCACTCAACTACTTCACTCTACTTTTAGTTCAAGGAGTTAACACAGACCAGTCCTGAAGGAACGTTTGGCATTTATATACAGATTTCCTCATTTACTCAAATTTTGCATTCAAACGGAGGGAAACACATTCCAACCTTTCTTGTATTATTTCTCAAAGGGATTAAAAGTCTTTGCATCTTATCAGCGTCTTTATCAACCCAGACTGTTATCGACGTATCCTAAATCAACAAGTGAATCTCCTGGTAGGAAATTAATGCGGGCGTCAACTCTAAGACAATTTTTATGACAAAGTTACATAGAAATGGAGAGAGCGAGCAATCCTGACGAAAACTACTTGACGTTAATAATAACTGAGATGTTCGAAATATTAATTCACTTATGAGACCGATTCTCAACTCCCAATTCGATAGATATTACAAACAACTATTAACCGACTAATATATATATATATATCCGACAAAAATAGTACAACCGCAAGTTGCCTGTCCGTTAGCAGGTGGATAATCAACGATGAACGTGAAAATTAGGAAAATAACAAAGAAATATTCTTCAGCTTGGTGTAATAATTTTAATTTAATTGAACAATGTTTTTTACTTGTATTTTCACCCCACCACCACCAACATAATTACTACAAGTCTTTTCTGTTCGTTTTCTCTTGTTGCGTTGTGAAATGTGACAACTTGGAACAGATGCGCATCTGTACCAGGTCCATACGTTAGGCTAAGGTATTAATTATTATTTATCGATTTGAACGCATAAATATTGGTACAAAAGGGCACCGAATACATATTCACCACACAAGGTACTTGATTTGTATAGGTTTTTCAAACTCTCCTAGGAGGATCCTCCACATCCACCGACCCGGTTAAAGCGCCGGACATTCGCTTTTCGTCCTCTCAAAGAACACGAGAATGCAGTGAGTAGGACTGGTAGTAGCTGTATACGCGTGGTCATGTGAGAACATTTCAAAAAGAGAGCTGTCTCCCCCCACCCTCGGTCGTACCAGGGTATTTAAGGGAAAGTTATTAATTAAGCACGGTAAACCGATCGATAAGTTGATGAATCCTCATCAGCTGATGTGGTTGAGACACTACGTATACGCAACTATCATTCATCGACGAGCGATGTTGTCTGGTGTAGTGGTAGGTTGGGGAGAAAGCTAAACCAAAACATGGCATTAGTCCATAATGTCACTGAAAACTGGGCTGAGCCACACCAATAGGTATAAACTACCTGGTTAGGATCTGTGTGATTAACGAAATCAGTGGTTAGACTTTGGGTGATATGGTTCGAAAATGTTCGCAATGGCGTAGATCCACTCACTATTTTTCTTCTTTTAGAAATTGAGTCTCGAAACCTGCCTATACCTTTATCTCTTTTTTATACTTAATCTTTACTACTATTGCTACTGATACTGTTACTACTCTTGTTACTCTGGGACTTGTCCTGAAATAATTCCTCCTTGTGGCAATGTAGTATTGCGAATTGACCTGATGTACATGTCAGGTTCTACGTCGCATATGATTGACTGAGATCCTCAAGCTGCTAATGAATATACCAAATCGAAACTGATACTGCAAGAATGTGGATAGGAGTAATTAGTTTTCTAGCTTCTTTATGGAGTATTTTAGTCTGAATCTGTAGCTAATTGAAACAAGTGGACGTCATTGTTTATTGGTGTAATGAGATAGCAAAATCACCATATGATTATGTGAAAATATTTAGACATGTTTTTTTCATTCTTTGATATTCGGACATATTTGTATCAGCAAGTTCGTTTACTTAATGCTGAGAATATATTGCCTACTTAACTCATCAAGACACCGGTCTTGGTAGATTAGAAAGTGACGAAAAATGTAATACAAAATCTTACTAGTCAGTTTAGTGTTGAATACCTACCTGGGAAACATCAATCATCCAAACTCTTCCATCAAGATATAGTAAGTTGTATTCGCTTAGGTCGGCGTGGACTAAGCGGCACTTCTGAAACAAGGTTCGTATATCATGAACAACTTGAAAGTACAAGTCAGCCCAATCGGGAGCATCTTTGCAATCGCTTTCTTGAAAACAAACATCCTTTAACTTTGGAGCGGGAATACCATCCTTCCCAACAAACGTCATCAATAGAACGACGCCTTTCAAACGTAGAGGTTTGGGGGCACTTATTAAACCCGATTGATTTATTCGGAGTAAATTACGATATTCTTTTTCACTCCATTTACATACAAGCTTCCAAGATGTTGACTTTGAGTAACCATGACGCATTCTAAAATCACCGTTTACGTATTTATCGCGAGATTTAAATGGCATTATTGATGTCATATAAACTTTGATAGCGAAATCCACGTTCTCTTTATTTTTTACATGATATATGTTTGCTTCTTTCCCTGAAAATATCAAGAAAAATATGAAATAATAACTAAACACTTGATGAAATAAAAGTGGAAAGGCTCTGTAGTGTGTAGTGAACGACGGGATAGGTGTAACAATATTATTAATTCGCAGGCCGATTTATGTACCGTCGGCCTACTCCTGGTGACCGTGAGTTTGACCATAAATGACGACTGTTACGCAATGAAATCAAGCAAAGCTCGCATAAGGACCGAGAAGCCTAGTGGTCGAAGCGTGCTAATGAGCTGGAAGTAGCAGCTGCATCTGATAATTACCGGAAGCTCTTCCAACTCATCCAAGCCACTGGCAGCAAGAAGTCTGGTGTGAGCGAAACAATCTGCAAGGATGACAGGAGGCCAATCGCTAACATCCGTCGACGTCTTGGACGATAGGCAAAATCCTTCGAAGGGCAGTTCAACTGGCCTGCTGCTCCAGCAACATCGGTCAGACTGTCCTACCCTTCAATGACCGGTGACGACTGGTTCACCAAATGAGGCGGAAGTCCTCAAGGAACTCCAACTCTTAAAGCGCTACAAGTCACCTGACCCAGATGACTTACCTCCAGCTCTTTTTAAAGATGGTAGTGACTTTCTAGATAAGGAACTGACAACATTGTTTAAAAAAGTCTTGGAACTAAAGGGTATACCAACGTCATGAAATAAGTCGATAGTTGTCCCTATCTTTATAAAGGGTTCATGTCGTTTCTGTAACAACTATCAAGGGATAAGTCCACTTCCGATTGCGTCCAAGCTATTGGCTTCCGTTATACTTCCTAGGTTGTTCAAAACCCGAGAAGGATTGACTCGCGAGGAGCAGGCTGGGTTTCGTTCTGGTCGAGGATGTATTGATTATATCTCCACCTTCCGCCAAATGTTAGAACACCGTCATACTTATCAAAGGCCAATAATCGTAGTGTTTCTTGATATCAGGACCCCCTTCGATTCGTTAGATAGGATTGTTCTCTGGGATTGTCTATTGAAGAAGGGTGTGTCTGAGAATTTTCTTAACATCTTAAAGTGGCGAGACTAAAGTTTCTGGACGATCCAATCAGATTTGCGATAACAGGTCTTGAATTTTGGCACAAAACTGATCTATTTATTTGTCTAGATATAGTTTCGGCATTATAGTTGATGTCAGTTGGTGATGAAAACCCTATATCCAGTTCCTAACCCTTACTACCAACTGTGAATATTGATCTTAATTCTTCACACTGGTTTATAACCCTCAATTAACTGTAATATGTAGGTGGACATTTTCGAGGTCTTAAGCATCGCTTAAAGGTCGTAAATAAATTATAGTCTCACAGATCTATCTCATGAAGACAGACTGAGACATTCAAACTTATTTCTATTATCTTACTGCAGATTACGGAGTGATTCAATATTGGCTTATCTTATACCGAACGATGAAATTGACACTAGTTTGTTATCTTTTCCTTTCACCTAGAACTGATCATTTAAGAGGATTTTCTAAGTTCAAAAACCTAGATCAAATCGTCTACGTCTGGAGTTTCGTTTTTCACACCGAGTAGTGGATAACCGTAATTATCTACCAGAATACGGAATATTAGCAACTTCTGGTGATATATTTAAAACGAGATCGGACGGCCAGTGTTACAAACTGTAAGGATTAATATAAGTCGATAGACCTCCTACCCTAACTACTAGAGACTTACCTGTACTAATACACCCATTGACTTCACTAAATATTTCCTGATTCATCATTTTGAATAGTATGGAGCACGATCTTCTGTCTAGAGCATGATCAGTCGTTGCCTTGTCGCTTTTATCTTTTAACTTCCTTTCATTTTTCATTGAAAAATCGACTTTGCTCTGAAATTTTTGCATATATAACTTGGTAGAGTTGTTACATTCCCCATCACTTTCTGAAAGACCTAAATTATCGTATGCTTCTTCCAACGAAGACCATAAACTCATATTTCTTGAAGAAATACTCAAAGTCATGCGTAGTAACGCAACGTCTTAAACTATGTGACATTCAATCCTCACTCTATAAGAAAGGGTCGGTAATCTATTTGTTCCTTGAAATATTAGTCCGAACGGAGGGAACTTCTCCCGGTTACCGGGACCAACGACGCTTTTCAAGTGATTTTTAAAGACTGAAGAGCAAAAACAAATCAAGTAATAATAGAAATGATCAGAGATTTCAAATGGTTCGATAAGACACCGAAAGCTTCGTCAGTATAAATCTTGAAGATATTCATAGTTCTAAAGTCGTTGCTTATTATTATTCTTAAATCCTAATGATTATATACCTAAGGTAACACATCTTTTGTTGGGTGGTGATATTAATCGTCGCAGTTGTTTTTTGTATCACTACACTCTTATTAAAATTAACTTCTAATGAACATCTACAAACCCGTTTAACCCGTGAATTTAGGTCATCCTGTAATATTATTCCGTCTGACATACAGTGTATGGGTCTCCAAATCTTTGTCTTTCAGAAAATAGTGAAACAGATGAATCTGCTAAAGTTGGCAAATCGTATCCCTAAAGTGAAAAAGATCGAATGGTTCAAATGGTTGTGGACGGAATAGAATAAGCTTTCGCTTGACAGGCTTCCGTGCCTAGTAGCAGGGGATCACCAATACCTCCAGGTAGGAACCTAGGTATATTAACGATAAAAGAGGAAAAAAGAAATTGGTAAATCATAGTAAGATACTAACCTTGATCCTTAAGAATATAGCAAGTCGCCTGTTAAAGGACTCCTGAAAAGTCGCTTGGATTAGCTCAGACGGCAGAGAATTCTAGCATCTGACAACTCTTAAGGAGTAGAAATTGTGCCTATAGTCCGTTCTGCTATGTTTTACCTTTAATTTCTGGGTGTTACCCCTTAAGTTTGTATTGGGACTAAGCTCTAGTGGGTGTCTAAGAGGATTCCAGAAGTGTTGAAGATACTGTAAGCCATTAGGAGGTCACCTCTAAGACGCCTATACTCTAATGGGTAAAGGTCGAGTGATTGGAGGCGCTCATCGAAAGGTTTAAATTTGAGTCCCCGAACTGATTTCGTGGCTCGCCGTTGGATACGCTCCAGAGTGTCCTTATCCTTTTGGAGTGTAGGAGGGAATATTATGTTTCCGTACTCTAAATGGAGACGAATGAAACTATTGAAGATTATGTGGAAAGTTCTCCCGTCAAACTTCCCTCAGTATAGCAGAATGGACCATGTCTGGGCCAAGAGAAGTATATGTTCCTAGATGCTGCAGTTTTCGGAACAGCAAGTCAGCGCTCAGGCTCACTTCGGAAAGTCCTGTGCAGTTGCAGTTGAAGCTTTCATCAATAAAGTTAATGCGGGTCGGTTGAAATGTCCGGGAGTATTGTCAGCCAAAAAACTAGCGGTGTCGCCATTGTTATTGGTCTGGCCATCGGGACTGAGCAGTTGGGAAACCCCAGTTTTGGCTTGACGAAGAGAGGCTGCATAACAAAATAATCTTTTCGGACTGAATACAAATTTATCCATAAGCTTTATCTGGTACTGAAGCCTGTTTTCTCTTATAGCCTTCGTACATATGTTCCTTATATGTTTGTATTGCATGTACTCACCGTCGTTGTCAGCTCATTTGTATTCTGCCCAACAGTGCCTTTTGCGGCTTAACAAGCGAAGAGTGCGGTTCTTGATGATTGTAGGTTGCTTGTAGCTTTTGGGGACCGTTCTAGGAACTAACTGCTTTGTAGCACATAAGAGCGTGGGCAGTAAGAAGTCCCAATGAGCATCCACATCAAGTTGAGGGTGAACATTCCAATCCACTTGTTGTAGATAGTCCTGTAAAGCAGACACATTCAATCGTTTGAAATTCCAGCGCCTGTTGTTGTTGAGATATCTTAGCTTGGTTTTGCTGGCAAAACTGAAGGCTATAACGGCGTGATCGCTCTTCCCCAGAGGAGCCAGGATTGAAAGGTTGTCAACTAAAAACTCTTCGTTTGTTAATACACAGTCTAAGCGCGACAGTATCTGACAGTTCCCCCAACGAGTTACCGACTTCATATTTTCGTACAATCCCAAATCCTCATTGAGGTTGAGGAACCGGGCTTCAATTGATTTTTCACTTCCAATATACGTATGTTCCGAAAAAATTGACTCTAGGCAGATTGAAGTCCGCTAGAATCAGGATATAAGTGGATCGGAGACGCGTAGAGCATGTAAATCCTTCCAGCATACGACTGTCAACAGTGGGCTTCCTGTAAATGACCTCGACTAGGCACCTCGATGTGGTAGACAATCGTATTGAGCAACATACTGATCCATCAAGATTGATAAACTCTTGGTTGTGAACTTGGTGTACTTCCACACATGATCATGTGTATAAGGCTATTCCACTCCCAAATCCTGTTTTTCTATCTTTGCGAAACAAAGACATCCCAGGAGCGGTCAGAGATTATACCTCGAGAAACCCCACTCTTCACAAACTTTCATCCTAGTAAATGTACTCGTTGCCACTCATTAACAAAAAATTCATTTACCCAGTTTTTGATTCCAGAGTAGATTTTAAAATTTCCAGTTTTCATCTAAGACCTAGGTAAGAAACTTTGTCGAAGTTTTTACGTAGATTTATGGAAGTTGCATTTCCATGAAATGTTACTGTCTTTCGCTGCAGTTCAATCTTTTGTGGCATTTATCAAACATGAAAGGCCTTTCCTAAAATACTATGTTCACTGACCAAAAGATTATTCCCTTCAACATAGTTTAGAAAAACCGTCCAAATAATGTGACGAATAGTCTGGTTAGGCAAGCGGGTTGATAGTTACCAAGAAACTATTTAACCCCCTCCAGCACTTTAGAAACTAGACTAATCATTGCATTCTTCCAGTTTCTTGACAGTTCAGAATGCCTTTGACATACCAAACGATATTGCCAGAGATTCAGTAATTGCATCCTCCAGGGTTTTCATAATCCTAGAATGAATACCGTCAGGAACGCTGTAATTATGTGGTTTGTGATGTTGAAGTAATCTTAAGGCAGCCCTTTATTCAATAACCTCAGGATCCACCAATAAGCCGCCATTATCATAATTAATTGTTGGTTTTTCGCCATCGGCGGTAGAATAACTTCCTGATAATGCTTCAGCTTTTACAACACCACTACGTGTCAATGTCGGTGGATATTCTTGGAACAAAAGTGGTGAGATCCCATCACGTTATGTATAAAGATAACCTTTTGGGACTATTTTCAGGATCCATAAGTGATTACTTCAAGATTGGTCCAACATCAACCGGCCCATGGTCTCAATCAAAAACCTAATAGTTTCCTCGACTCCATACTGATTATTACTTTGCACATGACGGCTTAGCCCTATTTACCAAAGCTTTGCATGCGTTCCTAGTTTCACAATAAGTAGATCTGTAACATTCTAGGCCTTTAGAGATCAACACATTCCAATAACCGCATCCACGTCTGAGAAGTTTCTTAACCTTTCTAGTTATCAATTGTGAGCAGTAATTAGGTCTACGTGGTACCAAGCATGGTATAAACGGGATGTAACTAAGCTAAATGTACCTCTAAATATAGATCATACTTCTCTAATTATGAGATAGTATCTGCTGACCTGTCCGTTGTTGTAACACATGTATAGCTGTTATGTCTGCTTTTCACAAGTTTTGTCCGGGCCGAAACAAACGAAAGACTTCGTCACAATACCTAAACCTGAATGAAAAAACAGCATGATTGCTGCTAGCTAACAGATAGAAAATGTCCAGATGGGCAATATCCTCGGTCTCATGAGTAATTATTGAGTCTAACAAAAATGGTCATTGATTTGAACTAAGGCATGCTCCATTTCTGTCATTGGGAGGCTAGCATCGAACTAGCTTTTCGATGCAACGAGAGCCATTTATCTCTGATTAAAATCTGGTACACAGAAATCTTTTAGCAAGAGATCATCGTTGCACCTTGGCATAGAATTAGGTATATCTAATAAACATGAGACAGTAAAACTTCGAGTGATCTCCTCCAGTTTATGTAGAACTGATCAAATCATTGAGTCTTCGTCAGAATATGCACTCGTTACCTATTCTCGTAGGGAGTCCTATGACTTACTGATTCAAATTCACAAACGTTTGCATAAATTTATGTACCAGCTCTCCAGTATCCTGTCTTGAATTATTATTTTCCTTAAATCTGACTTGTGACACAAACCTATCAGAGGTTTATTTCAGCGGAAAGAATCACGAGCAGTAAAACATATCAATATCATATCCTCTTTGATCTCTGTATACTGAAGTGGATGTAGGTTAAAATTTTTCAGACGAGCTAAGTTCGATTTGTTTTTCGGTGCGAATACCTTTTCAAAGGTTTTTCTTTGAACTCGTCTTCAGAGGGTGACATCATTTTTGAGGCAAGCAGACATACCGCATAAGTTGTTTTTAAACGACATTTTAGGTAAACACATTAAGCCTTTTCAAATTAACCCAGATTCATGCTATCAGATGCTCTAGAAGGGAACCTCTGGTGTGAGTGAGCCGCAGAATCTCAATGGTCATAGGCAACTAAAGTATTTTAAGAAAGAGACCCATGTAATTTTTTGTAACGAAGAGTGTGAAATCTTTCAAGAGCATCATTTCTTTTCACCATTAGAACTCTGCATTTACTGATGTTAAAAGTCGTGTCAAGTACTTTACGTAAAGTCTTCTCGGGGATTTGAAATGTCGCCTGTGCGAAGTATTTTCCACCATTGTAACGACTGAATTGCCGCAGGACTAACAAACAAAAATGTATCCGATTAGACCAGACTACGTTCTTTTGTACAAAGTGCTTCGTATCAAATTACATGAAAAAACTCTGAAGTCAATTTAAACAGTTTTAATTTAAGAAAGAGAACAAATTGTATCAAAAAAGCGAAAAACCTCATTAGGTATATTCTATGCTACAACAAAAGAAACAGTAGCGAGACCATAATTTATGAACAAACCAATCAGATTTACGATAACAGGCCTTGGATTTTGGCACGAAGTTCTTTACCCATTTGGATAAACAAGGTCTAGGTATTTTAGCTGATATCAGTTCGTGATGAAAACCATGAATCCAATCCTTATTCCTAACCTCCAAATGAAAATCGAAATCCTTACTTTTCACACAGATTTAAAACTTTCGTTTAGCCCTAGTCAATATGTGGACAGTCTCGATGCCACTTTAGCGTCGCTCAAAGGTCGTACATAAATTGTAGTGTCACCGAAACTTTTAATACCACGGATTTCAATATCTGGGAATGAATGAAAATATTCTCACTGTATTTATATTGTTTTAGTTAGTGTGGAATGGATTAAATTCCCCATCGTTTTTGACTATGGTGGAATGTGGTGGGTTGATTGTGAGTTGCTGAATTTAGTTCGTGACCGAGCGGCTTTGAGGACATCCCTGTGAAGGAATAGGAGCTTTCAAGAGATTGAAAGAAATCAAGAATTAGTCAGGTCTGCAAGGCAGGTGACTTGGTGGACTAATATTTTGCGATTTTTTAGACATATAAATCAAGCGGCTTTATTAGACAACACGGAAACGAGTTAAAGCTCGGAGTTAAACTGTTTAAGCACATAAAAATTTCATTATTCGATGAAGAAATATGCGTGACGTAATCTTCACACCAAATAATAAAGAACGAATTCTAACTTCTAACTACAGTGTTTTTGACTACACCGGATCTCACACTTTTGTTTGGGATGGACCAATATTCGGTCCCCAACTATCTCCCACTTAATCTACTTACTAGTGTGACGAAACCAACGAAAACGACTCTACAGGTGACTGTTTTAAGTTAGATATCAGGGAACGATCTCTAGATAAGGAAGAACATAGCTCTCAGGAAGGCCTTTAGTGTTTGACGAATAGAAGATTGGACCTCAACAAGACAGACTATATCTATGGACTTCAATTTTCTGGTAAAGCTTTTGTTTATATATATTTATTAGGTCTTACAATAGAACCAGGAAGTTTCGGAATCAATTGTGCAGGTATTACCGAACTTTTTGGTAACAAAAGGCAACGAGTAGGCGTGATTGAGACCTTTGCGTTAACGAAATTTATGAGGATCAAAGTTCTGATTGGGAAAAATTGAGGTTTTATCTATTTACTTTCTGTTAATGACTTGTTAAATGTCGCACATTCATCTATTCTACTTTATGCTTGACAAGTGGTAATGAATGTAAAACATGATTGGTCACTGGGCGTGAACAGACAGGCACTCAGCCCATTGATCATTAAATATGTGGCTTCCTTTCCTCTCACTGATTTATACTCTGTAATCCTGGTGCTCAAAGTAATTGTTTCTAAAGGTTTGGAAATCATAATAATAATAATAATATATTTCTGCATGAGCAGGAATATATAGTTATCAATAACTTATGAGCCCCGTGTGACTGCAAGATTGCCATCTTTCATGACTTATCTCATCATTCACACAGTGTACGTGATTTTTGTCAGGTCTCATTCGAAATGTATGGTTTAGGAAGCGATTTCTTGTTTTCGAAAATACTCAGATATCCTAGATTAGGTCCATAGTAGAGGGACCAAATAGGTGAAAAGAGTATTTGACCTTCATTGTAAAGATGGACTATGACTACTCAGTCTATTTGATTTACCACACCAGGGCCCCTTATAGAGCCTCTGGAATAATCATGGATATTATAACAGCTGGCAATTTATTGCAGGACGGTAGTATGCTGAGGAATGGTGTTGCTGTAGTATTGAAAACATCCCTAGTACAATTAGCTCTGTAGGTCCTCGACAACAATGTTGACCTCATTATTTTTACTGAACACATCCTGGCATCCCGCCAGATCACGATTAGGTTGTAGCGTCGTGTTGAGTTGAGCTTGACTATGAACACCGCTACAAGACTACTTGCCAATAGACCAATAAGATTCCGGTAGGCCAAAAATCAGAAGGCAGATGATAGTAGTAGTTGTAATATATTTGTTGGCAATCTCGTGGTATCGAAATAATACCGAGATTGTGCCAAAGGAGTACAGATGCGATCGGCAAGAAAAGGTGCGTGCGTAGTCGAAAACCGCGTAGAAGGAATGGAATACAATGGAAGATCAAAAATGGCTGTTATTAGCACAGTTAAAGAAACGAGCACAATAAAACAATCACTGGTATAATTGGTTATGATAATAATTGTTTTCATCGAACCAATCGCGTTCTGTTGACAAAAGTAGGTCACTACAAGGTAATCTATGCTATGCACCCCTCTCAACAACTAGCAAAATTAGGCCATACGCTGCCCAAAATATTTAAGTGCTTTATTCCCTATATCTGTATTGACTGGGTTTGAAATATTTAGATCATAAAGCTGGTATGGACAAAAGCGTTTGTCGATTCCTGAATTTTCGTGACACTAATTTTAAAATAATGAACATTTTAGTGACCATATCTTCAATAAACCCACTAAAACGGCATATGTACACAGGAATTATGCTTTTATTGCAAAGCTGAAAAAAAGAAAACAATTCAATTATCATGTAAGAGCTAAATTAACAGCGAACGCATTCAAAAAATGGCGCTGCATTGTTCGATGGCATTACCCACAAGTTCGTACAGTTTAACGTGTCCTACTTTTCATTGATCGTTAATTTTCATGGCTGGAAAAGGATCAAAGGGGTTCGCTTTGTTCCAGATCAATAGTCAAGATGTATGGGATGCAGACGATCGCGAATATCTGAACATAATATCACCCAAAGGTTGTTTGTCAATTTATTTGTTATTTTGTGTTAGTTGTGCAAAAAACAGCACAAAAAGTTCTGGATATGCACAGACAAGAGTCGGCTATCGCTGAAAAGCAGGATGACAGACAAAGAAATGTAAGGCTAAGAAAATGCTACTTTCTATGATTTTTACCTTATACTTTGAGAGATTCCTGTGATGTCAAATAAAAACGATATATTTGTACATATGACGTGTTTCTCCTCGTTTTTAGGCATCTTCATTTTTAACGTTTTTAAGGGTTGTTTTTATGTAGATTGCAGTTGTAGTTGCTGTGCTGTCTTCCTATATAATTACTCCTTTACATATTGTATAACGTTATCCCAGAATCTCCACATAAAGGCATCCTTTCAGTCTATAGCTCCGAGCCATTCTGTAAATTGTGCCTAGGGGAGAGGGAACCAAGTTGGTGCCATTTCTTCATGATATTCGTACGCATGTATTTCTTAGCTCAATTTAAACTACTAATTCAAATTCAGATTTGTATAGTGAGGACAGAACTCCTACAGCTTGTGCTATTCCTGTTCTAGTATGCTTCTGTGAGTGTCTTTCCTTAAGTGAGTCATTTGGAGGTGCCGACACCTCTATTTCGTGTAACAGGTTCCAAGGGTTGATGACTTAGTGTAAAAACCTGTATGCCACAAGTATCTTGTTCGTTTTTGACTTTTCTGTTCGCCTCCTATGTCCTCTGGAATTGCGCGGGTAGCTGCCCTCTATACTTTTTCTACGATGTACGAGTCACTTTTTAAACAGAAGCTTGCAGCCTTAACACAGTTCTCAAGTTTCTTTTTCACTAAGGTTGTGTATACTGTAGTGAACATGGTAGTATCTAACTTGGATGTCCGTCTTAAAGCCCATAGAGTTCTCAACCCTTTAGCTGAAACCTCGTGGTAATGGGACGTAGTCTTAACATCATGACTCTTTCACTCGAAGATCCTTGCGAGACCGGACGACGGGTACAGGTACTTCCCCTATGCTGTACCTATTTACTTTTGTATCCCCAGTATGCTTGTAGACACACTTGTCCGTATTGAAACGAATCATTCACTTTTTAGACTAGCTGATCAAAATATCTAAGCCCGCCTGAAGTTCATATGCACCTGCGTCTTCTGTTACTCTTCGTTAGATTTCAGTGTATAGAAACACTGGGGACTCACACATACTTGGGAGTTCATTTACATACAGTATGAAAAGTAAAGAACCCAGGACAGAGCCTTGTGGTGCTCCGCTAAGTACTGGTTTCCAGGAGAAGCACTTGGTATTTATTCCAGGAAATTTTTAAGCCATGTTAGGAGTGGCCCGACGGTGCCTAGATTTTCCAGCTTCAAGAGTAGTCTATTTTTTGGCACCTTATCAAATGCTTTGCTGAAGTTTATGTAGACAACACCCGCTGGTTTTCATTATCTAGAGTTCCTATCCATTTCTCTCTTACTAATAAGAGATTCGTTTTGTAAGATATGTGAGTTCATGCCTCTTTTATTGATACTCCTGAGTTAATTATTTAGTTTTCAACCGAGGCTGCAGAGTTGGTCACCTTCATGTCTATACGTTAGGACGGGTCGGCGCAACCGTTTGACAGGCCATCTCAGCCATGAACTTGAATAATATGACTGCATGATCACTTAAATGTCGGAGAAAAGTCATTTGACCGACATCACAACCGTGTATGTGTGAAGACTATTTTATTTATTTATTTATTTTAACACATAGATATTGGTACAAAGAGGCACCAAATACATATGCGCCACAGATCTCATTTGGTATGTGTGAAGGTTGTGATCCTGCCCGGGTGCCCAAACCGAAACAGGTGGTTTTCTTGGGGGGCCACACCCCGGCGACCATACCACGTTGAAAGCACCGGTTCTTGTCTGATGTGTGAAGATTAAGTTCAAGAAAAACGAGAAGATTCTCTTTACTTATGAAAAATGACTGATCTGTCCGTGAGGTCCGTCTTAACAAGCTGTTTTCTAAAATCTTATATCTGCAGTCCGATTTGGTGTCAGACGCGAAGGTCTCACTCTATTCCCTTACTTCTCTTTTTCTGGATGTAACTGTGGGGCCAATCATTGACCTTATGTCTCTTTACCACACGATCAGGCTTTGCTTCTCCCATAGCCTGTTTTGCGTTGATATGTTGATCCAGAACTGAAACCGTAGATTCATATATCTTAGTGCTACCTATAAAATGTTTCTTCTCAGCGTGGTTTTTCTTTTTTCTCGTAACCATGCCTACATCTGTGTATTTGTTATCCGCTACGCTATTGGGGTCCACTTTGGTAGTCTCATCCAAAGCTGGACTCATGATAACACTCCCTAATTTCTCGAAAACTGAAATCTGTTGATGTGCTGCTGGCTGTTTATCTGAGGGTATCTTTCTAACTATTCTCAACCGCCTCAAGAATCAGCATAGATTTTTTAGAGCAGCATGCTTTGCACAGCCAACGTGATAGTGGTTCGTAGCATCTTTTATATGCAGCCGATGTGAGTCCGGTGCACACTTCTAAGGAGTCCCATGCTAGGACGGAACGACCGTTTAGTGCTTCCGGGTTTTCCATGGTGGTCTATTAAATTGATATAAATATATATTCTTTTGTCCACCAAGCCTGCTGCTTTTTGATGTTTTGTCGAGTCGCAAAAGCCACATATGGATGCTTACTGCGAACACCTCTCGCGTTGTTGCGAAGCTACTGCAGGTGTAAACGGTCAAGTTCACTATGTACTGGTGCATATAACTGGTTCTTTGTTGCAAAACCTGATTTTGAGTTGGGAATATTTAACGTCTGTGCTCAGTAATGTTGTGTCCTAAAGATTGTTCATATCCAGTATTTACATAAAATGAATAGATAATCTTTGGTGGTTTGATCATGTTTAACGCATGTTTCAGCTGATTTTCTGTCGAGTATTGTTCGTCGACTATGGTCCTGGATAGAAAATTGAGAGGGACTAAATTTTTTATATGACTGTGGAATGATGCATAGTTGTATTGAAAACTATCGGTCCATCATCACCCCTTGGTTGGGGTTTCAGATCCGATAACTCAGAACCATGTTAGTGTACCAGCTGGTGGATAGTAAGAACTGCTGATTGTCTCGCCGTAGTTTCCTATTTGGTGCCTCCTTGTACTAACGTTTGTGTTTAAATAAATGAATAAATAAGTTATATTACAGAATTTGACAGTTTTTATTCATTTGGCCGTGTGCATTACATTTGTTCTGCCCTGCGTCTAGCCTCAAGCGAGGTATTTTCCTATTTGGTATGATATGTTTATGAGAACTATTTTACTCGTACAATAATTTCGCCTAAGTATATATGGGTAACATGGAATTTCCAGTGTCTGGCATCCACTTAAAACTGTTACCTTTGTCCAGAATATCTTACATATTTTATCAATCTATTCTTTCTCTTGTTTTCAGATTGAATCTCTTGATATTAAAAATTCACTCGTACTCCCATATGACAAATCCCCGAAACATGCTCCTGGTATGGGTGTGAGATTGAGAGCAAGTCCTGATGATTTTCCTGTTGCTCATCGAAAGCTGTTAGATCAAGGTCGGACCCAACGTTTCAATACGTGTATAAACTCAAGTATAACAGATTTAGGTATGTGACATTGCCTTAGTTCTTTGTAGAGTTTTGTGTTAACTTCGAAGCCTTGTAACAAAGAAAGCATTTTCAACCTTTTATAAACATCAAAATAGTTGACACAGGCTGCTGAGAATATGAAAATCTCTCACTTTTCACGATGATAATACATTAGTTACCATGAGCATTTACGTAGAGAAGTTTGGAGATTCGTTTCTTTCTCTCTGAATTGCCCCATAAATTTATTATTTTAGGACATTGGTTTTACTAATTTCTTTGACGGATTGATTATATTCTCACTAAATTAAAAGTGTGAAAAAAACACCTAACCGTTAAACTGGACTGCTGTATGTGCAAGAGGGTTTGAAAAATATAATTCCTAACCACTTAGATTTAGGATCCTGAAGAAACAAATGCTACATGAATTTACTATGACCATCACCTGTCCAAGGGACGCATATCTTTGATTTGTTCCATAACCTTGTGGTTTGAGCTTTTAGGTTAAAAACCTAGCTAGAAGTTATCTCGTAATAAAATTGGATTTGGGAGACTGGGTAGTTTCACTACCCAAACGGAAAAACGTCGCCTGCATATGAGAATTAGGGTTAACTTGCTTGTTGCAGCATCTCTAGGACCCCAACCAGGGAGTCGTGAAGGACCAACAGAAGCTAGGCCTTTGCAGCTTTCTTTCATACCACGACACCATGTCATATACTGACCACCTCTCCGCTTTTTCCAACCAGTCCCAGAGTCAGCAAATAATGCACGACGAGGAATTCTCTGGGACGACATTCGTAGGACATGCCCAAGACATTGAAGGCGATGTTTCAAAATGGTGACACTAATTGAACTGTCGTGACTGTGTCTGGACACACGATGCTGAACCTCTGCATTACTAACATGGTGTTGCCACTGGATGTCAGCAGTCTTTCGGAGACAACGATGATCAAACATAGAGAGTCGTCTAACATACTCAACTCGGAAAGGCCAGGTTTCACAAGCATAAAGCAAAACTGCTCCCACCGACGCGTTGTAGATCCAACTTTTTACAGCCAGACTAACGTCACAAAGGCGTTAAAGATTACGTAGATTAGCATAAACCTCTCTGACTTTCATTATACGTGCATTGGTCTCATCACTCACGTCACTACCAGCACTATCTGCTCACTACCCAGGGTGAGTGCACGTCCATAATCCTACCAGTCTTGTAAAATCATTTTGCACTTGGAAGGTGCAAAACACATACCACACACTTTATTTAATGTCATCATAGATGTGCTGCTAGAATCAATCTTTTCATCGTGTTAACTTTAAAGAGGTTGGTCTCATACCTTCTGATTTATCCAGTAATTCACTTGTACTGTCATTTATCTATCATCAGTTTTCAGTGATTTAGATTTCGAAAACATGGTTTGAGGAAAATAGTTCTAAACGGTTTTGTTAGTCTTCTACTTTAATGTTCTTTCTTATCTATCTGGTTAGATTTTTAACGAATCAGTCATAAACAGCATCATATCCCCACAGTTTTTACTTCAGTTGGAGACCCTATAATGTACAGTCTATGGTTTATTAATGGTATTTCTACTCACCCACAGTCCTTTTGAGTTTTTTTGAGATAATTCAAGAAAAAAGAACTGTTTATCAGGTCTGTGGCCATTTATTCATTCATTTGCCGTGATTAAATCACCTGTCAACTTATATTAGAATAAAGTAAACAATTGATTTTACAGTAGCTATTCATCTGGGTTATTGTGAATTCAAGTACCTTTTATAGTCTTTAAAGGTGATCTGCGTTTTACGCACATATTATTGCGATCTCTTTCGTAAACTTGTGAAGGGTGTTAAATATGTTCCTGTGTATGTTGGTGAAAGTCCCATGTAACACCCATACTGTTATATAACCCCTACCAATGACGTCACAAAATGGTAATGTTAAAGATATCCTTTTCTTTAGTTAAATCAGTTGCTATTTTCGACAATGTATTGTGAAAACGTAGTTAATCTAAAAAAGGTGATATATTTACGTTACATATTTTGAACGATTCAGTCACACATACTCGTTACGGCATTTCATATGAAAACCAATAAAAGTCAATTAAATAAAGGTTCAATAAGTATACAGTGATAATTGGAAATAAATGAGAAAAAATCAATATATTGTGGAAAGAATAGGAGATTGTCACATTATCCTAAACCCTACAACGAGTTAACGATTATCAGGACAGATTCAAGGTTAAAACAAACTGCTTCTGGACACATAAAGGAAGTTGGAGTTTTCTAATAAGCGAGGCATTTTACAAATTGAAGAATGAGTCCTTGACAAATTCTAAACTATGAGTTGAAATCTGTTTTAAGGCTAATCGTATGACCTGTTTTGATTGTGTTGTGCAATCGATGAGTATGGTTTTGCTACTATGTCAACCAATTTTGGTTGTCTGAATGTGAAATTAGTTGATATTGCTCTTCAATTTCATGCTCGTCAAAAAAGACAAAAATATCCTAATGGCTAAATGTTTTAATGCCTTAAAGAACCTCCAGAGTAGATTAAATATCGTGTTTGCAAGTCCGTTAAAAGTTTAGGTGTTGTTGTAAACAAATGTGACTATAAGGAAAATATCTTATCCATTATCTTAATCAAAGGAAGTTCATCTTGGTCCTCGGTCGTGATGTTAGGAAATCGTAAACTAGAGTGAACTGCAATCTCGTGAAAAACTTCTTAACATAAATATTATTACCAAAGTGGAACTTAATATTCTAAATCTTTTGGAATCTAAACCCTCAAATTTGTACGGATTACCTAAGGTTTACAAATCGAGTAGTTTCTGAAGATCAATATTATCTATGTGCAGTTCATCTACACATGAACTCGTAAAATAGTTGATAAAACTACCAAACCTATAGCAGAACAAATTATATAAGTTTTTGTTAAAAGATACGTTTGAACTTTTTAATGGCGTGAATATTAACTCTATGTACTAATATGAGTGCTATTAGAGATATAAGGGTGGTTATCACTTCCCGGTTGCCCACATCACTGAAGGATTCTTCTAGAGGTGGTCTTAGTGATCTGAGAGCGTGACCGTAGTGCCCAAAGGACAACTGCTTGAGGCCGGTCACACACGACCTTTTCGTAAGTTTAGTGTTAGCTCCGTACTTGTTGAGACCTTACCACCGGAGACGGAAATCCATGGGTTAGGGCGAGGTGTGCATTTTTAGGGTCGACCTTTTTAACCCCACCCTGTTTGTGGGAAGGCAACATCGCTGTTATGCTGGTTGTCTGAGAGAAACATCTTACTGCCGTCACACCTCTGTACAGTCAACAATCTGACTTCGCTCTCGGACCTTGGATGTACTGCTTTTAGTTTTACCGCTCTCCAACCGACCTTTCTGGTATTTTAGAACTTTGAGGAACGATTGTTCCAACCAGTATAGCTCGATTGATTCATTCCGATAGGCATGCTCGACCACCAGTTCAACGTAGCAGGTTCGAGATTCAGTGATATGCCTGTTGGTGTTCTTTTTTGATTGCTTATGTAGTATGTTTCCTACTTGGTCAACGCAATTTCGAGAATTACTTTTATTATATGCTGACAAAGTTCGGTTCATATTTGAGGGTGAACGCTTTCGACAAGTGGTTGATGTTGGTATGGTTAACATTGTAGGAACTTTCTTAGTTAATGTTTATATGTCACATGTTGGAAATATGACGAGTAAACTGAGTGCGGTGATTGTTGAGGTGGTACGTGCGTGATATCTTGGTCATTTATGATAGGGACTTCGATGTGACTTCTGTCATGAAGATAAAAACAAATGAAAAAACTAAGAAAGCTAATATTTGGGACATTAGTACGCTTAATTCTCAATCTGTAATTACTGACATTTGGTTTATGTGACTTCCTTTTTCCCTTATTCAAAAGCTTTCGTTTAGTCCGTAAATTATCATATCTTCTATTTGAAATTTATCGTAATTTGAACACGAATTTCGTATCCTATTTTGGTACCCTAAATACCTTTTGACTTACATTATATATCCTCATTTACTGTGCATTTTATTCCAATCATTCACATATTTAGTCTTGTACTCTTGAATTAAAAGTAAGTTCCGATTAAAAGGTTTTACTACAGTCATTTTATCTTCCCGATCATTCAGTGTCCGTGTAGCGGACCGTTAGTTAGCAAATGGGATAGTTCTCCCTCCGCATGACCAATCAATTAGAAGTCGGATTCACGCATTCGCGGTCTCAAGGTTATGTTAAGTAGTCCAGTATCTTGAAGGAACAAATGGCGTATGAACCAATCGTTGGTCACCGGCTACCATGGGACTGCATCTCCTTACGATGCTCCACTGCCTTGTGGGTCAGACCTTTAGGTCGAAGGCTCGGGGTGTGGCCCCCTAAGAAAACCACCTGTTTCGGTTTGGGCATTCGGGCAGTATCACAGCCCTCACACATATCAAATGAGATCTGTGTGGCGGATATGTATTCGGTGCCTCCTTGTACCAATAACTATGTGTTAAAATAAATAAATAAATAACAACTTCGTTATTAGATAAACATACAGAACGATAGTGTACTAACTTGTGAGGTAATTAGCAACCAGTCACCCTTTCTAGACATACTTTTGAGTTAAAGAGATGACGAAACCATAAGACGACCAGTTTATAGAAAGCTAACGTAAATTGATCAAATCTTAGGCTTCCACATGATAATAAAGTAATACATTTGCGAAATCCCAGCGAGTAGAAAATTGATTTTCGTCCCTCAGTGTAAATCACTTCTTCGGCAAATAACCAAGTGAAATCAACTTATGTAGTGCAGAGGAACAAAGCAGAATATTTATTGCAAACAAATTGTGTCTGACCATATCACTCGTGTCATTCCGGTCAAGGTGAGTCTACGTAAAACATTGTGTATTTATGTGTGTATGTCAGTAGGTGTGCTAAATGTGATATTTGAATTATGTCAACTTTCACAGTTTCTGTTCTCTGTAGTGAGGCGTGGTAAGGTGGATCTTCAACAGAGTTTAACGAATCTTCAATGAATATACGATTCAGGTGGAGATGAAACTAATATCCCAAGCATTAACACCAAACGGATGTCCTCTAAAATTTCTAAATTGGTGTAAAAGCCAGTTAACCCTGAAACTTTTTCTTGATTACGTTACGAAGAAAAGGTTTTACATTACATTGATTTATGGAGAAGAGTCAAATAGCATCTTCGTAAAGTAGAGAGTAGACACCCATCGAAAAAGCGCAGTACTGTAAAATAAGTTGTTATCAAGAAGATGGAGTCGATGACTCCACACAGTCTTAAATATCCCACTGTATTTACCAATTCACATGTGTGTGGACACATAAGGGGACTAATTGAAGATTGTAATAGACAATGACAAAGCATATCTCAAAATGCAGTAATAATCATTTAGTCTCAACTGCCCCAAAAAACTCAAGAAGTAAAAGATCATGCCCATCGATTTTACAACACAAAACAGGTCATACTATTTGCCTTAAAACAGATTTCAACTCAGTTTAGAATTTGTCAAGGACGCATTCTTCAGTTTGTAAAATGCCTCGCTTATTAGAAAACTCCAACTTCCTTTATGTGTCCAGAAGCAGTTTGTTTTAACCTTGAATCTGTCCTGATAATCGTTAACTCGTTGTAGGGTTTAGGATAATGTGACAATCTCCTATTCTTTCCACAATATATTGATTTTTTCTCATTTATTTCCAATTATCACTGTATACTTATTGAACCTTTATTTAATTGACTTTTATTGGTTTTCATATGAAATGCCGTAACGAGTATGTGTGACTGAATCGTTCAAAATATGTAACGTAAATATATCACCTTTTTTAGATTAACTACGTTTTCTCAATACACTGTCGAAATTTTCTTGGCAGGGACTTATTGATTGGAAATTCTCTCTATACATTACTCTCTAAGAAAGATAGTTGTTCTCAGAGTGTGCCTAATGTAATAGTCATGACCAATGTTGATCTCTGTGTTGTTGTTTTCTTTTAAACATCGTCTCTTTCATTCTAGTTGTATTACGTCAACTTTCTTGGTCTGGAATTCCAGGAGAACTTCGACCAACAGTATGGAAATTGTTATGTGTAAGCATTTAGTTTTTTTATTCAGAAATTTGAGTCTATTTATTTTCATAATGGTATGAGTATTAGTTAACGAGTTAATTTTTAACCAATTATCTCCATAGGGTTCTGTTTCCTTTTCTATTTATTCTACATAATATACTTGTAAGGTAATGCATATCCGTGAAGCATCTTCTAATACACGGAGGTTATTTGTGATATCTTTTTATTTGTAAAGAGTAGTGTGTTTGTGATTCAAGTACTCGATTTTCACTTAATGTGTTGCAAATTTGAATATCACTCTGTCTACTTTGGTTTGAACATCTATGTTGTATCGTAAGCCTTCGCAAATACAAGAGTCACGATCTGAAGCTAAATATGTAAATGCGTTCTACATACACCCACTCAGTAGTGGACATGCAAGAAAATTATGAAAATTGTCAGGATGATTTTCATCCCTCGTGTTTGTATTTGTCAGTAATTGATATCTTACCACCCTTTAATGATTCATGTTTCTGTCGGGTTCGAAATCTGAATCACAGCTGTAACATTTGTAAATAGGCAACAAAGTAAACACATGTTCTCGAAGTTCGAGTAGTGTGTATTTCTTTATTTTCGGACACAAAATACAGTATTGAAATCATTTTATCTTAATTGAACGCTTTCATTGCTAGTCGTTTACATTATATTACAAATACTTGATAAAATCGTATGAGGAATCGGAGTTCTAAACTATAACGTTAAGCTAAATTAACGAATATATCTGTGTTCACTAGACTTCTCAACCAAAACTGTTTTGTTTGATCTATCAATAATGTATTGTTAGTTGACTGGTTAGATTACTGAATGATGGTGTCACGTCTGAGATGTAGTGTTAATCAATATTAAAAAGGAAGTAAATTTGTCATCGTAATTCGTATTTTAACCAAGTATTTCTTACTCTTTTTTTAAAATTATTTTTACGTTCCAGGATTATCTTCCAACTAGTCTTGAACGACGTGTCACTGTACTAGCGGATAAACGTAAACAATATACACTTTTTGTTAGTCAGTATTTTCATTTACGTGAAAATGTTAAACATAAACCAATGTTTCATCAAATTCAGAAAGATTTAAACAGAATGACATTACTTTATCGAAGGCCTGAAATGGTTGCAGTAAGTTATATTGTTGTTGAGCGTTTAAACAAAAAATATAGTTTTCTGTATGTTATATATTGTTGGCAATGTGATTAAATTGTAGCCTAGAAATGAGGGGAGGTTGATTATGAATACAGTGGTCTTGAGTGCTGTTAGAGGTATGGAAGCGGTTATCACTTCCCAGCTGCCCACACCGTGGAAGGGTTCTGCTGGAGGTACCTGAAAAGGAAATTGGATTAGAGGTGTTCATAGTGACCTGAGAGCGTGATCGCAGTGCCCAAGGGACAGCTGCTTGAGGTCGGTCACACACGACCTTTTTATGGGTAGTTTTTGTGTCAGCTCTGTACTTGTTGAGACCTTACCACCGGAGACGGATATCCGTGGGTTAGGGCGAGGTGTGCATTTTTAGGGTCGACCTTTTTAACCCCACCCTGTTTGTGGGAAGGCAACATCGCTGTTATGCTGGTTGTCTGAGAGAAACATCTTACTGCCGTCACACCTCTGTACAGTCAGCAGTACGACTTCGCCTTCGGACCTTGGATTTGTTGCTTTTAGTCTTACCGCTCTTCAACCAACCTGTGTGACATGGTAGAACCTTGAGGAACGGTTGTTCCAGCCAGTATAGCTCAGTTGCTTCATCACGATAGGCAAGTCCGATCACCACATCAAGGTAGCAACAACAGTCGGGACCTAGAAATGAGAAATAGATTGGATGGATGCTTTAGATGTTTATAGGGATGATTAAAATCTATTTTACATATCTACTGTCTCCCGAAATTGCTATCCTGGCTAAGACAGGAGAATGGTGAAAGGAAGTTAGCATTGTTAAAATCAATACGTAGTATCATTCCTTGAAATGATTGACTTTTGGTCTATCCCCAAATTTCATTGTACGAGGGGTGGTGCGAAAGTTCGTTGCTCTGGAAATACTTTCACACGACTAAGACTTTATACTTTCAGAAAAATATTACTCATTACCCTCGCGCTAAAATAGTACTTGCAAAAAAATAAAACAAAACTGGATATTTAGTGTTTAAATGGGGTTAATAAATTTGAAGAATTCACCTAGAGCAGTTGGAAAACTCTGGTTTTGAACCAACAGCGGTGCTCAAGACAAAAAAATCAAAATAATTCATTTTGTTAGTAGAGAAAACCAAATATATGAAGTATAATCCGAAAGGAATAAATTACATGGAGGAACAAGGAGTGTGAAACATTTAAACAAAGATAGTGAAGAATATATTTTCAATCACATATTACGATTATCTTGTTCACCTTGATCAGAAGGTTTGCAGCGCTTGTCACGACCCAGTTCAACAGATAATTATTTCATAGAATTGTCTTATGTTTTTGTCGGCTTATCCCTAGTTGCTTTCAACCTTCTTATATAGTAACTGAATGTGTATAACATGTATCCTAATTATCTCTTCCAGTGAGTTAACAATGTCATTAACCAAGTTACCATCACCACTTAGTACCCTACGCTTAACCATCACAAGTTAGTCCCACCATAAACAGGTAATCCTTTAAATGAACTGATAATTAAATAATATCAGCCCATATATTGTTTCAGTTTGCCAATGGCCATGTTTTAAGGCTATAACTGAATATACTGCTAACGGCCGTACTCAGCATTATTATTATTATTATTATTATTATTATTATTATTCACGACATTGCACGGCCATCTTCCATTGTTTTCATTGAGTAACTGCCTCACATCCGACCCGGTTAAAACCCACTGGTCACGGCTTCTCATTAGAACTCCAAGAATTACCTCTCAAAGCTAGTCACTAGTGAGCACATGACAATCATCAGTATAGGGTTTTGGAGATTGTTGGATTTCAATTGAGATCATGAACCGATAAACGTTAAACCACTATTGAAAACCTGGAAGCAGTAGACAGCCGTTTCGTTCTAGTATGGGGCTCGTTAGCAGTGCGCATACACGACCTCGCATGTGGTACTCGGACCTAAAAGATAAACAAAAACTTGAAAGATCAGTTCGTGATTACAACTACATTCAACAAGTCATCCATACTGATCACAATCATGTGGTCACTGGTGACTAGCTTCAAGAAATAACTCCTGAAATATTATTGACAATCCATAACCAGTCTAGTTAAATCCATGTCGGGCGTGAGACATTTATCCAGCACAAGCAATGGATAAAGGGTTGCGCAATATGATGGATTGGTTGGAGATGGACGTTAACACTGTTAGGTTCCGGCTCAGTGGTTTAGAGAATAAACGTTTGGGCGCAAGACTGAAGGTCTCGTGTTTGATTCCACTTGTGGGTTCTTGGACGCGCACTGAATAAGAGTCCCATACTAGGACGAAACGGCTGTCCAGTGCTCCCAAGTTTTCAATAGTAGTCTAACATTGATCGGTTCATGATCTAAATTAAAACTCGACAATCTCCACAACCCTATGCTGATTATTATTAACATATTACTTGATTTACTTTTAAATTTATCAGTTTTCAGGTACGATTCTGTAAAATAAGTTTTACCATCTCAGTTTTTTTGTCCTTCACATTGTACAGATGTTTGAACGAATTCTATTTGTCTGGTCTATGCGACATCCAGGAATTGGTTATGTACAAGGTATCAATGATTTGTTAACTCCATTCTTCATTGTATTTTTATCAGAATACACTCATGTTGGTAAGTTTCTTATATTTTGTTGCGAGTTCCTTTTTCGATATCTGTCAAAGATTTGTATTATTCTACGTCTATTTTGATAGGAAATGTATAATACAGTATCTGTGACAACTTCGCTTAATATTGACAATGTTATCCATTCATTTCTATCATATTTTTGCACACTATTCTGTAGTTTTATCCCTCTTTATTCTTCTTTGTTCATTTTCTGTCTTGTAACTACATTGATAAAAAAAAGCATTTTATACACTACTCCAAAACTAGCATGATTCAATGGAAATAGTTATATAATTAGCATCATATGGACAATTGTTTATTTTTCATGGTTAGTAACTTCTTAGTACTACTCAGATTATCTAGAAATCTAACTTTATGTAGTTAATATTGATATTTAAAGGCGTATTTGTGTGTGTGTGCGTGTGTGTGTATGTTTTGAACCTTAGCAATGGAGCTATTTTAAACTAACTTGCTCATCGGATATTCCGAAGTCACTAACGCTCACTTGTTTTTGATCATGTCCTGTATGTAATATCAATTGTACTTTTGTTGGATAGTCTAATAATCGCCATTATTAATAATACGAATTTTGTTCTTAAAAAAATAACAATGATAGTTCATTCAGGGCCCAATTTATTGGTTCTTCCTTCTGAACATTTTGAACAATCTGTTCACATAATATGATTTTATGACAGAGGCCAAAAGTACCCATCAAGAAAACTTATTACGCTGCTAAACTGGTTGTGATTTAAAGGACTAAGCATATGATTCCAAATGGACCTAGAAAGTTCAAATAACAGTCAGTCATCTACGACGTAGGACCAGGCACATATATGCATCGGCCCAAGTTTCAATACCTCATTATTACATCAAGATGAACACCATATTCATAGAAGTAGTTACTTCAATGGTAGTAATATATAAAAGAAAGATTGTGTATAAGAATATAATACAGGAAGAAAGAATTAGTTCGTAGAAAGAAAGATATAAAGCAATTTTAATCTCACGGTTTAAGGGAAGATATGGAGAGTACATACACCTACGCCATTGTGATCTATTCTGAACCATGTCACCTAAAGTGTCCAACCATTGGTTACGATAGTCGCGCGGACCTCAACCAAGTAGTCTGCGTCTACCAACATGGCTCAGACCAGAAGTTAGTGACTTCAAGCACTGATGTCACGTTTTGAATTGGTCGCCCCTAACTTTCTTCCTACCGTCCCCAACACTAATCAGCATTGCGAGTAGTGGTAATCGGTGTTCAAGAATACGTAACACGTGACCCAAGCATCTCAGTCGATGAAGATTCACAACCTCATCAACTGATTTATCATCATTCCCTAATACTCTGCGTCTAACCTCACTATTACTTACCCGGTTATCCCAGTAGATGCCAGCAATATTTCTAAGGCATCTGTGATCAAATACTAGTAACTTACGAGTATCTTCTACTCTTAAAGGCCATGTTTCGCAGCCGTATAGAAGGACGGAACGAACTGCCGCGCAGTATACTCGTCCCTTAATTGATAGACGGATATCTCGCCTTCGCCATAGGTGACGTAAGTTAGCGAATGCCAAACGAGTTTTTCGAATCCGTGAAGAGATTTCGTCACACCAACCCATTAAAGCTGATTAGACTTCCAAGATAAGTGAAGTTGTCAACGCGTCCGACTACTTCACTCCCTATCCTTAGTTCAGGTGTTGACACAGGCCAGTCCTGAAGGAACAACTTGCATTTAGAGGGAGAGAAACGCATTCCAGATATTCTGGTGTTGTTGCTCAGTGCTACCAAAAGACTGCATTTTATCAGCGTCTTCGCCAAACAGGACTATGTCATCTGCGTATTCTAAGTCAATAAGTGGACCTCCTGGTAGCAGATCAATACCCGAGAATTCAGTCGATGAGAGCGTTATTTCCATCAGTAGATCTATGATGAAATTAAACAAAAATGGAGAAAGTGGACAGCCTTGACGGGCGCCACTTGACGTTACAAAATCACATGACAGTCTTCTTAGTGTGGCTTTTCTGCATCCAGTGAGGTGTAAGCAGATGCATGTCCGTATCGGAGCATGGTTGGAGTCCAAGCAGATATCCAGAATGAGCGACAATCTTCTATCGACCCTCTCCAACGATTACTGATGACAGTATGGTCTATTTAAGTCCATCGTTGGTCTGGTGCAGGGGGTCTTCATGTTAGACGATGTTTCTCCTTATGCTTAAAATTTGTGTTTGTTAAAAATAAACGATTGTCTGAGCACAGTTGCAGCAGACGATCACGATTATCTGTTCGCTGAACTGGAATACCAAAATACCCACCTAGATGTCTTTCTGTTTTCTTAAAACCACCTACCTGGGCATTTAAATCACCTGCTACGAGTACTATGTCTGGACGTCTAGCTTTCTGTAGAAGTTCAGAAAGCTTTCTGTAAAGTCATCTTTCACTTCATCCGGGCTACAGTCAGTGAGAGCGTAAGCAAAAACGGCGGAAAGGCAACGACGTGTGTCCCTATCCTTCTTAATTCTTACGGAGCCATTTAGCCGAACAGCTCGTAGACGACTGTTATCGGGGATTCACTCTAATAGTGCTTATTTTGCCCTCGTACTTAGTGACCTGAGAACTTGACCGCAGTGCCCGACGGACAACTGCATGAGGGCGGCCACACACGACCTTTTCGTAAGTTTCGTGTTAGCTCCGTACTTGTCGAGACCTTACCACCGGAGACCTTTTCTAACCCACCATTCTTTTGTGAGAAGGAAACATCGCTGTTATGATGGTTGTCTGAGAGAAACATCTTACTGCCGTCACACCTCTGTATAGCTAGCAGTAAGACTTCACCCTCAGACCTTGGATTTGCTGCTTTTAGTTTTATTGCTCTTCAACCGACCTTTCTGGAAATGTAGGACTTTGTGGAACGATTGTTTCAACCAGTATAGCTCGATTGGTTCATTCTGATCGGCAAACTTGACCACCATGTCAAGGTAGCAGCAACGGTCAAGGTTCGGACCGCAACAACTTAACTAGCAGTAGTTCAAAATTTCAACCTCCTGAAGGCCATGCTACTTAAAATAAAAGTGAAGTAGTTATCGAAAGATTCAACAGCACCAAGGAATCAGTCTATTTTAGTCTCTAGACGCTATTATATCATCACAACTCAACAAAAAGTTTGGGCGTAATTTATGTAAGTACTGAGGGCAATACAAGATGCATTATGTAGAGAGGGAAACAAAGAACTTTTGCCACATGGAGTGCATATATGGGGGATTTTCACATATATAAACACATAAATACAAGTATCTCTTACAATTTCATCTCATTAGTTCTAGTCATTGCTCTTAACCAATAGAAAATTAGTAGCTATAAGTATACATCCCACAATAATTAGTTAAAGAATATTGTGTTGTAAGAAACATTTTCATCGTTAAATCATGTCCATCATATATTTCCGTAATGTAATGGCCTTCGTTCTACGTATAATCTGTTGTTTTGAACATAGTGATACTTCTAAGCTTGATATATATATATATATATATATATATATATATATATATATATATATATATATATATATATATATATATATATATATATATATATATTTATGAAAGTATTATTTGTACAAGAGTTTGTCAAGAACAGTGGCTTAATAATATGATACCATAGGATAGTTTTGTTTACTGTCACACAAAAAGATAGATATGGCTCAACCTATATTTCGTAAATGATCTACTTCATGAGGAACACTATCTAAATTTATATTTTCTCACTATTCATTCAGATTTAGTACCTAGCTTGAACAATGAAAAATCATCAGGTAAGTGTCACTGCTAGAAAACACCTAACATATTGCGTATTTCGCAAAGGTTGATACAAAATGTTTATCAAATATTTGACTAATTTGCACTTACTAATAAGGTGATCACTCTCTAAAAAATCTTTATTTCCACGAAATTTATAGTGCATGCGTTGCTGTCAAAATTACTGCTTTTACAATATTATACGTAGTATAGAATTAATTGCATGTTTTAATAAGTATACTATAGGAATGTGTTTGTAATCCAAGGTTCATAAACATTAGATACTAATTATAGTCTTATGTGCTCAACTTTGAGTCACATAATTTATGTGAGTTGTGTTGCTATCTATTAAAGCGGTGGCTTCGTCTTTGAATCAGTGAAGTTCTAACAAGTAAGGTCGCAAACTCAATCCTCGTACTTTTTCCTCAGTTTGTGCCCTCCAAAGGCCACGGTACGGCCGAGGGTGGAAAGAGACCGTTCTCCCTCTCGAAATGTTCTCACATGACCACGTGTATACAACCACTGCCAGAGAAGTCCTACTCACTGCCTTCTCGTGGTGGGGGTATTGTTTATGAAATTAAGAGAAATAAAAGCGAATATCTGGCGCTTTAACCGGGTTGGTGGACACAGAAGATTCACGTAGGGGAGTTGGAAAACCCTGATTCCAAACCAGTGGTGCATATGGGCTCCAGGATCCTGAAACAACAAATGGCGTATAAACCCATTGTTGGTCACCGACTACCATAATACTTCATCTCCTAACGTCGCTCCACTGCCTTATATATGAGATTAATAGGTCAAAGGCCCGGGAGTGGCCCCTTAGGAAAATCACCTGCTTCGGTTTGGGCACCCGATCAGTATTCCAGTACTCACACATATCAAATGATGAGGTGTGGCGCACATGTATTTGGTGCCTCCTTGTAGAATTATCTATGGACTTAAATAAATAAAATTGTGCATCCGGTTAATATCACCGACCCCTATTCAATCGAACTGTGGTTCGTTGACCAGTTCAGGTATCTGTACTTGTTAAATGAGTTTTAAAAAGTATACTATTTCGCCACACTAACCAAGGTAGGTGGGATGGGATTCAAACCGATTACCTGCTAGTTAGAAGCCGAGTATCTAATTTGATATAAAAACTTAGTGTTAATATTTTTGCTCTCAGGTGTAGTGTTGTTAGGCATATTTAGGACAGTCCCATAAAATTATACCAAATAAAAGATCATAACCTTCGATTAATGTTGTCCTATATTTGTTATAACTTTCATATCAAAGTGCATATTTACAAATTAATAACCCTCTCTCTGCCTTGGTTAAACATTCAACTTCTAGCTCAATATACCATGTTTTTAAACTTGTACACTGCAAACCTTTATTTGATTACTAAGGTGTTGTTAAAAAAGACGCTTTCGTTCCGCTCTTGGGTCATGGAGATCTTTTCCAATGGTTTATAAGGTTTGAATTAAAATCGTTACTTGTCCATGGATGTGTTGAATATTTTCTATAGTTACATAATGGTTTGTTAGGCAAAGTATAGTATGGAGCTAATATTAATTTTTAATATGTCTATTTAGTACCGTTTCTGGTTAATATTCTTCAACAAAGTTCTCTTTACTGGATGGGGTTACTAACCCCCATATCAAACCCTTCTACTTTATTCGAGCCTGGGACTATACCCATAGAAAACAGCTTGTTGTTGTTGAAAATCCAGCTTTAACCATTTCATTTAACTAGATCAAGTGTTTATTTGTTGGGATTTCTAATATTCAGAATGACTTTCAAAGTAATTTTAATAAATATTTTATGAACAATATGATAATAAGATAGAAGTTTTATTCACTTGGTGTTGTTTACTTGTATCTTCCCACTGTTATTTCGGACTGAAATTGATCAGTCTTGTTGGCATATGTGCATCTTGTACGGACTGCCTCGATATTGCCTGAAATCACAAACTTTATAAGCAAAGATAGATACTGGCTAGCAGTGGAATCCAGGACGCGCGTTTTCTGTTATTTGGGACTCCTCAGCTGGATGTACCTACATCTCAGAGTGAATATAACTTCATCCCATTACACAAGCAAGTTGCTATCATGACTCAGTAGCTAAATGGATAATGTGATGGCGTTTGAAGCGAATGGTAATAGTTTCGAGTCCCAGGGTGAATATCTACTCTGAGATACAGGTACATCCAGCTGACGAGTCCTAAATAGGACGAAACGCGCTTTGTACTGAATTCCACTGCTAACCACTATCCATCTTTCCTTATCTAGATAGAAGTTTATTTCATAATCTCATCAAGCATTACTACAAATAATCTCTGATATAAGTTGTAACAAATAAAACAACTTTTTAAAATTACTTGCATGAAACTATGCAATATGTATATGTGTGTGTTTTACTTTTAGTTATGTAACACATCGTAATTGATAAAATTCTAGAAAGGAAATGTTTTACTTTATCTATCTTTCTATTCTTATCTCTATTAAGCCATTTCTAGGTTTGCATGTATTTACCACTTTCTAATTCTTAGCTCTTATATAATTGATTTATTAAAATATGAAATAATTATTGAAAGGTTATCGACAAGTTGAAACTCTATAGATTTTATGGAATTCAACATCATACTGTCTATTGTCATATAGAGATGTAATTGTTGAAGCATTTTTTGTGATGATGATGATGAGAGCACACTAACTGACTGAGAGATTTACACGGATCCATTGATCTCTGTATTGATAACTAACAACTAATTTTATTATTTATGTAGTCCTTTACACTGATTGACATTTATTGATGTTGTCTCATAGCAGTCATTACTTGATATCATGTTCATTATGTTTGTGAATGAGTGATATATAAATTGTGTATGTATGATAGGCAGTTGTATCAGGTTATACTTTGATGATGGTACTATTTGATGCAAGTTTGTATGGAAGTTGAATTTGAAACAGGTGAGAAACTGAGATTCCACACAATGGAATGAATAAGATAAAGATCCATGTCAAGTGAATACTTTATTTACCCTTCAAAAAAGACACGTCAACTTTAACCAAATACACTCATTTGTTTATAGAGTTTAAGGGCAGTGAATAATAAGTCAATGAATATCACACATAAATGAATTAGGAGGGACGTAGAAACGAATTTTTCACTGAATTAATGTATACATTATTGCTGCATGTCATACTGAGCAGATATCATGCGAAATTAAACAATTCACGTTTTATCTCATCTTAACAGTTTAGAATCCTCAAGGCTACATCAATCCCCCCATGATTACTGACACACTTTACTAATGGATCCCAACTAATAGGAGATCGAAGCTAAGGTGATCCTGCTAACAGCATCCAACTAACTTACAGCAAAACGTGATGCATATGATATCGAGTCAGACTAGCGATTGCATTTGAACTTGGTAACAGAATTCGATCAACCCTAAAGGGCTGGGTAAACATATGATTGATTGCTACTCTGAATGGTTGTCAATCGATATCGATTTTTCTTAATACCAAAAGATTTTAAGATCATGGAAACAATGTTATTTTTTATCCGTAGTCTAGTTAATCATTCTTTTAAAATTCATTAAGAAGTTTCTCTAGATCCTACATATTTATCCATCTTAGATAAACAGATATACGCTCTCACTTTAGGGCAACCATTATCATTTACAACCTAATCGGATAAACATTTGACTGATATGTATTCACTATACTTTCTTTGTAGCATTTATTTAAAAAAAAAAGACCTATAAGGAATGCACACTACACTGTCGTTTCATTTTGAAATCACTTCTCTTCGGCTAATCTCTTTTGTTGCTTGTTTATCTTTTTTCTTTTGCCGTGTTTTACTCCACCTCTTATCCCCACACTCATTATAGATTTAAATACATCAGGTGAATTAAGCCTACATTCGGATATCACCTGTGATCAATTGAATTCAGTTGAAGCTGATGTATTTTGGTGTACATCACATCTATTAGATACAATACAAGATAATTATACATTTGCTCAACCTGGCCTACAAAATAATGTAAAGATGTTGGCTAGTCTAATTGAACGTATTGATACTAAATTGTATCAACATTTTATACAAAATGATGTTGAATTTTTACAATTTGCTTTTCGATGGATGAATAATTTATTAATACGTGAATTACCATTACGATGTATTATACGTTTATGGGATACTTATATGGTAAGTTAGAATTTTTTTTTCACTTGTCTTTTTGTATATGTTCGTTTATGTTTTGGTTTATTGACGACACAGATTTATAGGAATTCATCATGTACAGGTTTATGTAGTACTGGAATTTGAACTATATCGCATCGGCTGGATTGTGGTTGATTCAGAGCCATATTACCCAACGTCTCCAACCATTAGTCACAATTATAGCTAAGATCTCACCCTGGCAGTCTACATGTTCCAACTAATCCAGTCAATAAAAATTCACTGACTCATCAACTGATTTACCATCTTTATGTAATAGTCTACATCCAACCTCAACATAAGTGTTCACTTGATGACCAACAGTACTCCGAAGGCATCTATAGCCAAATACTAGTGACCTACAAATATAATCTATTACTGAATTCATTTTCCCAGCTATAAAGTAGAACGAAACAAACTGTCGCATAGTGTATTCATCCTTTGTTTGCCAGAAAAATATCTCGCTTATGCCATAGGTGACGAAAGTTGGTAAAAGTCAATCCAGATAATGATATTAACCGGTTGCTTAAATCTTAATAGCTGAAGTGAGATTAACCTACTGGTTAAAAGCCGAGTAACCTAACCACTAAAATATCACTCCCCATATATTCGATTGTGTTGGCGTACTGCTTTTAGTCGCAGGTTTACACAGAAACATTTATGACTCGAAATCGCTTTGGCTTCATGGTATCCAGTTTGTGCAATTTATCTGTTCAATTAAAGGTAGTTTGCATCCTAATATGATTTTCTAGACAGATACGATAGTAAACCATTTACTTACAGGCATGGGAACTTTCTGAACTTTAAAATAATTAACCACTTTTAGAAATCTCGATAATGCAATGATAAAGTTCAGCTTCTCATTTCATTATCGAAACTTTATTTTCTTTAGTGTCCTTAAATCTGACTCCATTTAAATCGTAAGAATGATTTTTATTGAAATATACATATCACCAATCCTCGTATATAATCATCTACTTAACTCGCGTTTGTAAATAACGCGATTAAATAAGTGAAATACGAGAATGGATTTCGAATGCGTATATTCCAAACAATCATTGATCTAGACAAACGATTATGGAAACGAAGCGAAGAGAAGGGAGCGAAGCGAAATAACGCGCAGTTGGAGAAAGCATGTGGACCAACTTGATTTAACTAAGCGTGGATCGATAATTATAGTCAGACAAAAATAAGTTACATACATATGATGTGTAAGATAAGAAAGGTACACATATACGCTCATATAAAAACAGTCAAGGTTGATAAGAGAATAATTAACAAAGTCAAAATGTAACTCAAGAACTATGAATAAATTGGCCTGTCCGGAAGCTAGAATAAGCTAGCTACCGACACTGCCGTTCTCGGAAAGGAGTATTTCATTGATTGTCTAGATCAACATTAGAATGGTTTGCAAAAAATTTATTTATTTAAACGCCTTAAACACTTGTACACAGGGGACACCAAAATGCATATACTTCATACAAGTTAAAACGAGATTGTGTAGAGATAAAGAAAGGAAGATGAGTATAATAGAAAATAGAACAAAAATGAATAGAACATTAGTCTACGGAAGTAATAATAATAATAAATCTTGAAAGCATTAAGAAGGAAGGATTGCTGAAATCCAGTGGCAACACCATGTTAGTAATTCAGAGGTTCAACATTGTTTGTTTGGGCACAGCGACGATAATTCAATTAGTGTCACTGTCTTGAAACATCGACTTCAATAGACTGGACTTGTCCTGTCAATGTCGTCCCAGAGAATTCCATATCATGCATTATTTTCCGACGTTAGGACCGGTTGTTAAAAATAGAGAGGTGGTCAGTGTATGGTACGAAAGAAAGCTGTGCAGGATTGGCTTCCATTGGTCTTTCTCGACTTCTTGATTGGGGTCCGAGAAATGGTGCAACACAGTAGCTAGAGACGTTATCAGACATGGCTCAGAATAAAAGCGAGTGGCGATCTTGTTGTAAATTTATTTTACTATGCTCATATAACTGAGAGGAACTTGTTTAAATGTATGAATACTTTCTGGTGTTTTTCTTAACTGAACTTGCTTCTAGTTTTTTATAAGAACCTTTATAGTATTTGTGTACCCAGCTACATAAGATATTAAGTAGGAAGAATATATTTGTAAAATCTCAGTGATTCAATTTTAATGAATCTCACTATTTGTTCGACAATCTGGTTCAAACATCAAAATTATCGAATATAAATGGGTACATGGTTCTTCAGTTAACTGTATAGTAAATAGGTCATTCAATCATGTTAACAATGTTTAATATATTTGTTATAATGTGTATGAGATAGCAGATTGTATGTGTATTCGTAAGTGAATCTGAAATATAAAAAGAAATTTTTATTGACTTTTTATGGCCCCCAAATGCCTTGGTACGGCCGAGAGTGAGAAGAGTCCGTTCTCCCTCTCGAAATGTTCTCACATGGCCACGCGTATATAGCCTCTGCCAGGGAAGTCCTACTCACTGCCTTCTCGTGGCATTACTGTTGTTTACGAAAATGAGAGGACGGAAAACGAATGTCCGGAGCTTTAACCGGATCCCAAACTGTTAGCGGGACATAGATTGGATTTAAGCATGCTCCATGCACGATTGCTTTGGCGCACGCTGATTGGCTGATTCTTATGCAATCAGTGCTAGTCGATACATGGAGAAGACTCTAGATTCTTCTTATGTAAAAAACTATAAATATACTAACGGTTTTCCTTTTTTGCTTTTTGCTTCCATGTAACCTTGTTATTTGGAATATAATCTCCTTCATGATCAACCGTGTTTTGATTTGGGGCCTTGTCGAGTGAATCTGTGTCCGCGAATACAAAGCAATACGAATAGCTGGGTTATAACCGTAAGAGCGAAATTATAACGCAAACCAATTCTGCACATGGGCTGGCTCCAGTATCCTGCGGGAACAAATGGAGTATGAACCAATCGTTGGTCACCGGCTCCCATGGGACTACATCTCCTTACGATGCTCCACTGCCTTGGGGATCAGATCATCAGGTCGAAGGCTCTGGGTGTGGCCCCCTTAAGAAAACCACGTGGTTCGGTTTTGGCACCCGGGAAGTATCACAGCTCTCACACATATCAAATGAGATCTGTGTGGCGCATAGGTATTTGGGGCCTCCTTGTACCAAAATCTATGTGTTAAAATAAATAAATAAATAAAATAAAGCCATTGATCACTGAATCGAATATCATCCGTGTGATGACTATCTTACTTCTTCAGGCATATAAGTCTACACTAAAACTATGTGAAGTTACATCAGTTGTAGTCACTAACGAACGCATAATTATTATTTAACTGGCTAATATCAGAAGGGGTTTTGTGGAGATTGTAGTAATTTCAACGGTAAAGATCATGACCAGTGACCAGTGGAGTTCAACCAGGCCTGTTGTGAGATTGTAACTCACTGAAGACAATCGTGGATGTGTCGCTCAATTTCGTGGATTAGTTGAAGTTAGATATTAACACCGTTCGATTCCGGCTGGCTCAGTGGTCTAGTGGTTAAGTGCTCTCGCACGCGAAACCAGTAGGTCCTGGGTTCGAGTCTCGCAAGGGGCGAGGTCGTGGATACGCACTGCTGAGGAGTCCCACGATAGGAGGAAACGGCCGTCCAGTGCTGTCAGGTTTCCCATAGTGGTCTAGCTTCAACTGACTCATGATCTTAACCGTTGATGTTTAACTGAATAGATTGTGTGATTATTTCACAGTATAAACTATCATACTTTCCTATTTGATTGAATGATTTACTCGCATATTATATGTAATTAATCATTTTCTTTTTATTGATATATATATACAGTCAGAAAATAGTGGATTTTCAAATTTTCACGTTTATGTCTGCGCAGCATTTCTATTACAGTTTTCTAATGATCTTTGTCGTGAACAAGATTTTCAAGGTATTATGCTATTATTACAACATTTACCAACATTTCATTGGACTGATGAAAATATTAAATTGGTACTGGCTGAAGCGTTTCGTCTTCATTCATTATTCAATTCAGCTATGCATCATTTAGATTTTCGACGTCATTCAGATTTAGATTAAAATTAATCAGTACTTCAATTGTTGTAGCTTATCCCATCTTCTTTCTCTCTCTCTCTCTGCGTGTGTGTGTGTGTGTGTGTCTAGTTGTGTACATTATTATCAATGGATTGAAGATAAATACACAAGTATATGTGTATGTGTGTGTGTATGTAAAATAAAGAAAAGAAAAGTCTTTCTTACTTCCTCCTCCTGCTTTTTGTAGTCATTTAACGGCTACTACTGTTACACTTTATTTCCCATCAACCATCCAACTACTCTTTCGGTGTAGTCTTCGTCGTCGTCGTCGTCGTCGTAGTAGTAGTAGTAGTAGTAGTAGTAGTAGTAGTAGTACTCATAATAGTGATAGTAATATCCAAATCAACTACTTCCTTTTACTTCTGCTGCACATTGGTTATCTCTTTTGGTTTATTGATTAATTTGGTTTGATTTTGTATGTAGTAAAGTACTTTTTTTTTCTCTCTCCCTTATTTTCTCTTCAAATGATAACTGAATCTCTTGTGTTACTGTTCAATTGAACTTATTTGATAATTTCAGTATAATCTATTTGATTTCAACTTGTATTCAGTGTTATATATCCATGAATAGTTTGATTAGTCCTTCTTAATCTTCAGTTTCAACACTGCAAAAATACAATTTATCTCCTAACAATACTATATTACAGTCAATAATAATAATATTATTATTATTATTATTATTGATACTGTTATTTTACTATTTACATTCTTAATATTTGTTTACTTTTCCATTGAAAGATATCTTTCCTGTGTAGTTATTTGAATGAATGCCAACGCCAACGCCAACTAATAGTTCACATGTGTCTTTCAACTTCCTATTACGCCCATGATAACATGATCTTCCTTATGCCGTTATAATGTGCCTCTGTATTTATGAATATATATATATATATCTTAATACTACCCCATAATAATTACTCAGTTAGAAGAAAAGAAAGTAATAAGTGTTTTGTATGCATTTTTTGTAGAATATTTTGTATTAGAATCCGTTACTTTGTGACCTTTCTCCTTATGTGGGAAAAAGAAATATGAGCGCATACATTACCAGTCATCAGTATTTTATCAATATTTCCTCTGTATGAATTATGTTTTATTTACATGTTATTATATTTTCAAGTGACCAGTTTCTACCTTTTAAGAAATTGATGATGGTGATGATGATGATGATGATGATGTAATCTTCCATTTGTTAATAATATACTTAAAATATAAGTTTTTGATTTTTGGAAATTATGTTTTGTCTTAATTAATGATCACAGATATACTTGCTTGCTTACTTACTTACTTACTTACTTACTTACTTACTTGCTTATTTACTTACTTACTTCACTTACTTGTGCCTGTTACTTCTCGTGAAGGAGCACAGGCTGCTCACCAGCATTCTCTATCCAACCCTGTCCTGGGCCAATCCCTTTCCAGTTGCTATTCATCCTTTTCATATCTGCTTCTATTTCCCGACGTATTGTGTTCTTTGTTCTTCCTCTTTACTGCTTTCTTTCAGGATTCCAAGTTAGCATTTGTCTCGTGATGCAGTTTGATGATTTGCGCTAGAAAAAAAAACGCTAACCAGAAAAAAAATTTCATACCACAGAGTCAGTCATTAACAACGTGGAACTTCGTACGTACGTACATCAGTTCGAGTTGCCATACCACATTAATACAGAGATTCAGTTATCAATTCAAATCCCATAGTGGTAGAGGTACTGAAAGTATAAGTAGAGATAGGGGACATTAAGGTTTGACAATGCTATTAAAGGAGTAAAGTCCAGTGGAATAAATTGGGAAAGAAAATAAAGAACATGAAGAATTCAGATTAGAATTTGGGAGAACACAAAGAGTGGATGTACCTGAGCTATTGCAAACGATTTTGAGCCATGTCATTCAAGGTCTCTAACCATCGGTTGCTATCATCTCGCCGATCCCAACCAAGTAGTCTACACCTATCAACATGGCCCAGTCCACTTGTCAGTGACTTCATGGATTTCTGCCATATTTTGGTCTTACCTCCCCTAACTTTCTTCCAACCTACTCCTACACCAGAAATCATCGCACGTCGGGGCAGTCGGTGGTTGGGCATACTTATACATGTTCCACCCATCTCAACTGATCAAGTTTCACTACTTCATCAACTGATTTTCCATCCTTACCTACTACCCGTTTCCTAACAACTGCATTACTTACTCGGTGGTCCCAGGATATACGAGCAATGTTTCGAAGATATTTATGGTGGAATAGTAGTAACCTACGAATATCCTCTACTCTTACCGGCCATGTTTCTCTTCCATAAAGTAGGACGGAACGAACTGCTGCGCAGTAAACACGTCCTTTCCTTGATAGACGGATATCTCGCCTACGCCACAAATGACGCAAGTTGGCAAAGGCTGATCGAGACTTCTGTATCCGTGCTGAGATTTCGTCACATACCAGACCACAAGTGCTGATGAGACTTCCAAGATAAGTGAAGCGGTCGACACGCTCAACTACTTCACTCCCTATCACTAGTTCGGGTGGCGGTGCAACCCAATCATGAAGCAGCATTTTGCATTTCAAGGGAGAGAATTGCATTCCGAACTTGCTTGTATTGTTGCTTATAGTTGTCAGAGGATTCTGCATTTAGTCAGCGTCTTCACTAAATAGAAGAGTCATCGGCGTACTCTAAGTCAACAAGTGGATCTCCCGGTAGAAGTTCAACCCCTGGAAATTTAGATGTGGAAATTGTTATGTCTAAAAGCACGTCAACAACAAAGTTAAACAAGAATGGAGAGAGTGGACAGCCCTGACGAACACCACTTGAGGTAATCAATTCTGATGACAGTTGACCATAAGCTCTCACTCAACCAGTTGTGTTCGAGTAGAGAGCCTTTATAAGGTTGATGTACTTCTTTGGTACTCCCTTCAGTGACAAACACTGCCATAGAACCTCACGATCAACAGAGTCGAATGCCGCCTTAAGGTCGAGAAATACTATCATTGTGGGGCGTCTGAATGTGTGTCTATGTTCTAGGACCTGATTTAGTGTGAATATCTGATCTATACAACCATGTCCAGGTCGAAAACCAGCCTGGTTTTCGCTAGTCTGCTGTTCACAAGCTTTGGTTAGGCGTCGAAGTATTATTGAAGCTAATATTTTAGACACTATATTAGTCAAACTAATTCCTCTGTGATTGTCACAAGAGGACTTTTGTCCTTTCTTATAGACTGGTACAATCAGTGATTGAGACCAGTCAGATGAGATTACGTCCAGTTCCCAGATTCTACCTAAGACCTCAGTCAATCTCGCTGCTAATACTGGACCACCATCCTTAAAAATCTCAGGGGTAAACCTGTCAGGGCTTGCTGCTCTCCCACGCTTCAGATTTCCTATAGCTTTTTCAACGTCATCAAGAGTCAGAGAACTTACATTAACTTGCCATTCAGGTCGACTGGAGATTGTGGGAAACCGAAGTGTGGCTGAAGGCCAGTTGAACTGATCCCTAAAGTGTTCTGCCCATCGATCCAATCTCCTGGATTGAGAATGAATAATATGTCCATCTTTTTCGGAGATAGTTTCGCAAAGAGTTGGGTTCCTAATACCGGTTTCGTTAACAAGTCTGAAAAGTTGCCTGCTGTTACCTATTGTCGCTGCCTTTTCCATCTCTCTTGCTTTCGCTACCCACCACTGTTCACGATCATTGCGTAGGCTTCTAGTCAGCTTACGCTTAAGCTGACTCCGCTCTTCGTTATGTTCAGAGCCAGATGGAATGAGTTTTCGAGCATCTATCAGTGCGGTAGATGCTGCTAAGATCCAGTGTTTCTCCCTAACCTTATGGTTTACCGTACTAGCAGACATCACTGCTGTTTCTACAGTTTTGGATGTCATTCCACGCTGCCTCGGGGTAGGCATCAGTTACATAGCTGCCTAACTGTTTTTCTAGTTGTTCCTGAAATATACTCTTAGCTTGACTATCATTAAGTAGGACCCTAAGGGGTTTCCTTGCAGCATGTTTCCTACGTCCAGTAAGACGTAGACAAATACCACAGATATACAGTTTAGTTTATTTATTTATTTATAAAATTACATTTTATTATTGTTTAGTTCAAAATTGTACATAAGATTGTATATCGCTTAGTTATGGTACCTACAACATAAGCTAATTAAATTATTTTCATTGATATCATTCTTCGAAATTTTTCTGGATTCCAATAATCCTAATTACTTAGGATGTATCAATTATCATGTGATTATTAATATCTTGGTAGATTTTTGTTAATGATTTTTAATTATGCTAACACTCTCTAATTGAAACTTCATCTTAATGAAAAGTGAAGATTTCCCGACACGTGTGGTTTATTATTAATTGTGAATTTGAACGTTTCAATGTTGCTTTGATCTTTATAAAGTTTATTCAATGATTCAGTATTCAAAATAATCATATTTGATGGAGTTTTGTTCTCTGAGCTGGATGATTTGGTCGTGGAGATTTCATCGTTCTTCTGAACGACATCATCCGCAGCACAAACTTGAGATAGAAATGAAGTGTTCGAATTTCTCCATATGTGTTTCACAGCTTGTTCTGTGCGCCTCGATGTTGATTGGTTCTTATTGACCTTAAATTTGTCATTGTTTACTTTTTTACTCTTGGTTTTGTCTCCTATCGTTCAGAAGAACGTTGAAAGCTCCACGACCAAACCATCCAGCTTAGAGAACAAAACTCCATCAAAATCATCCACCTGAGCTACAAATCTTCACCATCTCGATAATCATATTTATTTAAATACATAAATTTTAGTATAAGAAAGCACTAAATATCTATGCGCCACACTTCGTCGATGGATTAATATGAGGACTGAATTACTGATCGGGTGTCCAAACCGAAGCTGGTGATTTTCGTAGCGTTCACTCCCTAGCCCCTGACCTATGAGTCTAATCCATGAGGTAGTGGGACAACGCTGGGAAATGTAGTTCCATGGTAGTCGGTAACTAATAATAGTTCATTGCTCCATCTATTCCTTCAGGATCCGGGAGTCTGTATGCATCATTAGCTTTAAATAAAGATTTTCCTACTCCTCCATGTGAATACGGGGATACACCAACCCAGTTAAAGCGCCAGACATTTGATTTTTGTCCTCTCATTTTCTTAAACAACATTCCCACCGCGAAAAGGAAGTGAGGAGGATTCCCTCTCAGTGGCTGAATACGTGTGGCCATGTGAGAGCATTTCGAGAGGGAGAGTTGATTATCCCCACCACCTAAGATAGTCAAATTATTTATCGACATAGTGTATTACTAACATAACTTGTTATCAATTGTGGCCCGAGTGCCCTATTAATGTATAACGTAACGATAGCACCACTCAGAGAGCCGTGAATTGTCAATCGAACCAGGGACACGTAAAGCACATGCGAGCAGTCTAGAGTCCTGATTGGAACTGCCTTCCGCCTAGCCCAACCAGTCGTGTCCAGAACACAAATCTCAGCCTCTGCAATATGAATCATGTATTTCAAACATACTGGGTTTATATACCAACCAGACAGACCACATTGTACCATAAAATAGAAAATACACATTTGTAAATGATTTAGCCAAATGTGGCTGTGAATCTGAGAGGTAGTTATTGACAGACCGGGCATAACTCAAGAATGGTAAATCGTCTAATAATAGTTCATAGGTCAAAACAAAGCTCATAATAAGAGGGATACGAATATGAATAGTTTAGTTATTTAACAATTATACAATAAAAATATACATTTAGTACTGGTCGATAAATGGATCCCAAAGTTACCATTCATTATCCTTATCGGGACCTAACAACTCTGAAAACAGAACTAACCCATAATCACAGGAGTTCTCTACATCGTGACGTTTCATCATATCACACTTGTAAAAACAATATTGTTTATGTTGATGATTATCAAAGCCCAGGATATGAGTGATATAAGGAAATAAGCCTACTTTTGAAGTATTTTAATTACGTTTCAGCACCTCACGTGAAAAATGTCAACCATCATTGGTAGTGTACTGATATTCCTCTAGATGATTTTCTGCAGTTCTAGAAAGCTAAACAATTTCTTTAGAACAATGTCGGGTATCATAACCAAAATTAATGCTAAATTAATAAATAAGAAGGGTTTTACCCCGAATTTCCTTGCTAATATCAGTGCTAGTACAAAAAACTATACAGAATTTGGGACAATCCTAGTTTTGTTTGTAAAAGTTGGTAAATATGTAACTTTTTGAGATACTGTAGTGA